ATTATGGGGTATACTATTTTGTTATCTATAATACTCCGTTCATGACCGATTTGTTATCATTACATATGATATTAAGCGCAGTTACAATCAAAGTAATTGATTAGAATTACGGATAAACTTTTTCTTTTCCTTTTTATTTACCGTTAACCATTAATTCCGCACTCACATAATTCAATTACAGTAATTATAACTCCAATATAATTCAAAAGCATTGGCTATTTATTTTATTAGTCAATGCCATAAACCTAAGAGTGTAAAACAAACTCTGGTTCACTCACCATTGTGGTGGTAAACAAACCAGGGGCCTTTGGCTCGGCTTGTGAAGGTCTGAGCTTACATGTTTAAAATTGATTGTTTGAACTAGGCTTGGACTTGTATAAAAGCTCGTTTAATAAAAAGGCCTCAGGCTCTAATTCAAAAGCCCATCTTTAAAGTCTCTCAGCCTGGCCTAGTATATTAATTTCTATTTTATATTTTTTATACTATTTGTAATAGCCCTATCTCTCTCCTCAATCCATTTCACCCAATTTTATTGGTTAAACAGACTTTTTGAATAATTTTATTCTACATTATGCTATTTGGATATACATTGAATTTATGAATATTTATAGAATTACTAGTGTTGCTGATTGTATATTCTGTTTGGATAAGTTTTTATTGTCTTATTTTTTTTAAACAGGCTAAATCAGGCTTTTATTTTTGTAAATAAGTCAGGCCACAGGCCAATAGCTATATTCATAACATGTAACAAGCTTGATTAGGATGACATATTTAAACACGGGCTTAGCCTTTTAAGTTCAAAGCTCGGCTCGGCTCAGCCCGTTAACACCCCCTACTCACCATGAAGCCCCTATAGACCAACATGATGAAAACACACTTTGTAAATTTATCTACAATGAACAACCTTTACGTTTTCTAAATCTGGGACTGCAATTCTTCACCATAAATTCTAATTTTTTACTATGTTAAACTAGACATCTTGAGTTTTCTAATAGCGTATAATAATCCTCAATTAGATATGTATAACTCAATATACACATGTCGCAAACCAATTTAATATCATCTCTCAAATTCCTAATTCACAAGTTAGGGTTATTATATTATCAAAACACTTTTCCAACACCCTTAATTTTGAGAAAAATGTATTTTTATAATTTTAATTTATTCCAGGGTTATATTAATCTTTATCATTATAATTTGTTAATCTTGTAACCCTAAAACGATGTCATTTTGAGGTTGAGAAAAACATATTTTCATAATTTTAATTTATTCTAGAATTGTGTTAATCTTTATCATTATAATTTTTAATCTTATAATCCCAAAATAACGTTGTTTTGAGCTTTATCTCCAATGACTAGAGAAATATTTTTCCCATTATTAAAGTTTATGATTAGGACGTCGGATACATAGTAATACAACCAAAAGGAAGGAAAAGTGAAAAGACATTATTTGAGGGCATGAACAAAAAGGAGAGGAGAGAATTCAAAAGGAAAATGATTCCAGAATGTGTGTTTGGGAGTTTAGAGGGGAAGGAAATGAAGGGAATCTGAGGGGTAGGGAGGGGAAGAAAAGAAAGAAAAATGAAGGGTATTTACCTTCCCTTTGATTGAGAGTAAAAAATATGATAAGAGAAAAAATATAAAGTTAATGAGATACTAAACAATTTTACCCTTTCTTAAAAAACTAATATAATTATTATATTTTATAAATGAAATGAAATTTAAAATTTCTAAAAAAATTATTTATGTAAATTTCACATTTGAAAAATAATTTTCCCTCTCTAATATTTCACATTATAACTAACTTAAAATTATTAAAAAAGATATAAATCACTTATCTCAAAATAATATAATTGGAAACAAAAATAAATAGTTTCATCAAATGAAATCAAATAATTTTAAGAAATAGAAAAAAAAAGTTAGAGAAAGAGAATAAGGGCACATAAGTAATTTATTATATTTTTCCTTTTAAACCCCTCAAATTGGGGAAACTCTTATTTCAAGGGTAAGTTTGATATTGGAGAGTTTTATAAAAATCTCTCATTCCCTTCTCCTTTTCTTTTAAACTCAAAACCTTTCACTTCTTTCCATTTCTTGACTCTTAAACACACCCTAAAAGGAAGGAAGAATTAAGCGACTTATCCGTCCTCTCCACTTTCTTCAAGAGGGGTTATTTACCATCAATCAAGCTTTCTGTATTTTTCTTTTTTCTTTTCTTCTTCTAGTTTTGGGTCTCTATGTGAGGCTAACGAGGCACAGTGTTAGAATTGGAGGAACACAAAACAAAGAGATGCAACTAAGAAAGTGATTGGAGACCATATTCTTTGTGATTTTGATTTTGTGGTCTTCAACTTGAAACCTCTTCATTATTCTTTTCTTCCATTTTTCTTTGTTTTTCTTGGTTGGGTAGTCCATGAAATCAAAGTACACAAACAAAAAATGGTTTATGGCTTTATTAATCTCATTATACATGAGACACATGATCTTCTATCATAGATACAATCATGTGGTGGGGCTCACTCATTTATAAAAAAAAAAACACAAAAATCGATGAGTCGATAGAAAATAGAACTACTCTCCAACAACATGAGAGTAATTTTTCTCTTTATATGTAAGTTTCAGTTTTACTCATGAAGGTATTATCTCTTGCAAGGTTATCCATGGAAAATGTGCTTTTTCCTACATGCTTATATTCAAAATATGGGATACGTCCTTAAGATTTATATTGAATAAAATATTATTATATTTATTTTGGGATTAACTTTTTATTTTATTTTGAAGTGAAACTTCTTTTGTAGTTTGTACCATAAACACGAGTTTCCTTTCATTTTTTAATTAACATTCGTTGGTCGAGTTCCTTATTTCCCAGTAGGGGTGTTAACGGGCCGAGCCGAGCTGAGCTTTGATCTTAAAAGGCTAAGTTTGTGTTTAAATGTGTCAGTCTGACCAAGCATTTTACCTGTTATAAATATAATTATCGGCCTGTGACCTGACTTATTTACAAAAAATAAAAGCCTGATTCAGCCTGTTTAAAAAAAAAAATAAGATAACAAAAGTTTATCCAAACAAAATATACAATAAACAACACTAGTAATTTCATAAATATTCATAAATTCAATGTTTATCCAAACAACATAATATAGAACAAAATCATTCAAAAACTATGTTTACCCAATAAAATCGGGTGGAATGGATTGGGGAGAAAGAGAGAGCTATTAAAAGTAGTAAAAAAAATGTAATAAAAAATAAAAAATAATATATTAGGCCAGCCTGAGAGGCTCTAAGATCGAGCTTTTGAATTGGAGCCTGAAGCTTTTTTATTAAACAAGCTTTTATACAAGTTCAAATCTAGTGCTAACAACTAATTTTAGATATGTAAGCTCTGGCCTTTACGAGCCGAGTCAAAGACCCCTGGTTCATTTAGCACCCCTATCTGCGAGTCAGTTGTGAATTTGTGATGCTTTCTATAAAATCTTTCGTGCTAGAAAACATTATTATTATTTTAAATCAACTTTTAAATAATTTTAAGATAATAATTATTTTTACACCTATATGTTATTGTGCGTTTAAATTAAGGATTCTATTACTCTCGTGTTATTGGGGATAAATATCTCCTATCATAGATACATGATGTGGTGGCACAACTTTTTATGTGAGAGTAGCATGAGATAATTATCTCATGTAAAATGGACAATAATTTCCCTTAAACTAATATGTATCAGATAAAATTTAGAGTAAACACCCTTTTTAGTCCCTGTCAATATCTACGAAGTCCTTTTTAGTCCCTGGCAATAAAAAAGGACCAAATTGGTCCCTGAAATTACAAAAAAAGGGCCATGTTAGTCCTTATGTCAACTCCCAAATATGTAGAGTGGCCCTTTTCTTGTACTTTCAGGGACCAATTTGGTCCTTTTTTATTGTCAGGGACAGAAAAGGACTTCGTAGATATTGCCAGGGACTAAAAATGGTGTTTACTCTAAAATTTATGATTTAAAAGTTATTTTTTCAATTTTTTTAAAAAAATATTTATTAAAACATGTTCTTAATATTCTTTTTTAAAAAAAAAACCATAAATATCCTCCAGGATAGGTAATTTTGTTCGGGCGAATTTAGAATTAAGACTTTAAACTCTTTCTAAAATAATACTAAAGATGATCGATCACATAATCTCACTCCACCTATTTAATTTTCATATGCCTACTAAGCTACAATTATTTGATTGTTATTGATATTTTTTTACATAACCAATAAGTGCTTGGAGCTTGGAAAAGTAGGTTCCTTGGACCCCTTGTGTTGGAATCAACAAACCAAACCAAATCCAACCCGGCCATTTTCTTTACCCACTCCATGATTACTATTTCCCCCTTAACCCACCCAAGTTGATGTCACTCCACACCACCAACAAACCAGACACTTTTGAGCTTTAAGATTCAGAGAGAAGAATAAGAGATAACAACATAGCACAACACAAACACACATTTGTTATTATTTTTGTGATGTTACATAATATATAAATTTTAAAGTAAATATTCTTTTTGGTCCTCAACAAATTTTATGATGCCCGCTTTAGTCCATAGCAAATAAAAAAGCTATTTATTTTCCCTAAGAAATTCAAAATGAATCTATTTAGTTGAAGTCGCGGTCCCTCATAAATTCAAAAAAGACCCATATTAATCTCTCAAAATGACTAAAATGGGTTCACTTTGAATTTCTTAGAGACCACATATAATCTTATAATCTTTTTATTTGCTAGGACTAAAATAAACATCATAAAATTTTTTGAGGACCAAAAATAATATTACTCTAAATTTTTTATTGATACAGAAAATATAATATGAATTTCTCTTCCTCTATTTAGTGTGACCTATGATCTACCTACCTGACAGTTTGTGTATGCATGTTTGTACAGTTTGTGTATGCATGTTTGTATGTTTGTTTCTCTTTCATGTGAGAGAAAAATAATACCCTTCTTTATAGCCTTTTTGGTTTGTTATGTAATGTATTTTGTTTTCTGTTCACTCTTGCGCATAACAACATACCCTTGTTGGCTTCTTCAATCTTCAATGGCCACCTCGCTTCTTCTCCTCTTCATCACTTATTTCTCTTTCATGCAATCCTCATCTGCCTCTCCTTCAGCTTCTGCTTCATTTCTCTATGCTCTTCAATCTCAATGCTCCCTCGCCATCTGCCCAAACCCTCCTCTTCAGGTGCCTGCTTATCTACCCCACCTTTCAAAATCTCCAATTTTTATGTGTCTTTCCGTTTTTTTTTTTATTATGTCATTTTGGTTATGGGAATTTGTTTTTATTCGTTCATATGATATCTTATTGTTTATGATTTGTTGGCTTTTTGTTTTGCTAGTGATTAATGGTGTTTTGATTCATGGCTGGTTGTCCTCGTTTGAAGAATTAGGTTCTGGTTTGATGATTTGAAAGTGGGGAATCGGAATATTAGGTGTTGGCAATCATCTAAGGGCTAATAGCTAAGGAAAACTAAGTGGGAATCTTTTGGGAAATTCGTGATTATGGACGAAAGATGAGGATATAATGTTGAAGGATAGCATGTTGCGAATTTCCAATCATATGGTTGATATGTTTATTAGAACTTCTTTTTGTCGTCCTATCCCAGTCATCTATATAAAATAATTCGAAAGTAATTTATTTTGATAGATATAAAGGATCACTCCCTAGTCCCTAGATTGTTATGGAGGGAATCACATTCGCATGGAGGCATTTTATTGCTATGCTTAGTACCAATAAATAACACTCTGCTCAGTTCAAGTAAAAACAATAAACTAGACCTCACTTTTTTTTGGTATTCTGACCCTAATTACCTCTTTGAGGCGAGTCGGCCACCGGGTATCCCTACGAGCTTCAACTCTTTTGAGTCATCTATGAGACTAATTCCAAGTCGGGACTTAGTCATAGTTAAAGCTCTTCGCCCCTCCTCAAAGATGTATTTGGTGGGAATCGAACTCAGGTTCTTTCCCCACCACTTTTTAGTCCGCTAAAAGCCTAAAAATATTATAAATTATTTATTTAGCACTGATGAGGAGCTTGCTTAAAATTCTCAGTTTTAACATCAGTGTTTTACAGATGATATGCCATGTAATACGTTATGTAACTTGGGCAAATATTATGTTGGTATCTTTTTGAGGACATTCTGATTTCTAAGCACAAGATGAAACACTTATCAAAATCTCTTTTAGGAAACATCAAGTCCCCATGAAATCTTATGAATGGCAATAATTACTTTCCTCATGAAAATTGATAACATTTTGATGATGACAATCAAGTCATTTACACTTTTGTTTTCCTTCTTGTTTTACAGTTAAGAAAATAAATTATATTTTAAATTTTTTTCCTGATTCTATTTCTTGAGGAAGAAAATTAATTGACAATGTTTATAAAGTCAATGTCTTGAATATACTTTCCATTTTGTAGAGCCCATACATAAATCATGCTTGGAAACTTGATAACTGATAAGTATGTAGTTATACCAAGATCCAGTGCAAAGTCCATTTATATATAACCTATAGTTTGTTCATTGCTCAACATTAGCTAAGTTTACCAGGTGAAGCTCAAACTCAAAGTATCAAAATGAGTATTAGAAATCTTCATATTTTCTCTAGGTGATTCTGTTTTTTTGTTATAAATAAATTTTCTTCAGCTAAGAGCCTTAATCACTGTGAACTTTGAATTTTGTTAGAGATATATAAACCTTACCCAACAGTTTAAGCTTTTGGGTTGAATTGGTTCTTTACAAATTTTAACTTTTATTTCCCTTTTAAATGGAAAATAGCCCTTTCATTGGGTTATCATTTCAATCTGTCTCTCTCCTTGAAATCTTGAATGTGAGATTTTCACTGCATGAAACCGAATATTTCGTTCTTAAGTTATAAATTTTTGGGAGATTTGTGATTTGGCTTGCTAGTGTTCAGCAATAACTAACTAGAATTGATTAGGGTTTCATGTATTGATATTTAGTTAGTGCCTAAGAAGCACAGGTACTGTGTCTAGTCTTACTACAGTTTTGAGTATCCAGTAGTACTGTCTTCTCCCAGAATACATGACTCGAATTCAACATCAAAATCAACATCTCCTTTATCTTAAATTTGTTGGGGTCGGCGGCAATACATGACTTGGATTATGATGTGGAAAATCTAATAGATTAGCCTGGATATTAAATCTGAAAGATAAAGGTAGCTTTATGTTATCCAATTATATGCTGCCATATTCCCTTTTTTGGTCTCTGGTTTCTCTCATTCAGCCCCAACAAGGACCCTGCTGAAGAAAATTATTGCCAACCCAAACAAACTGCAGTTTTTTTTTTCTTCTAGTTTCTGATCTTCTCATCCACAGTATGCTTTCATCTCCTTATTGCTGTCCCACCAGCGACTGAGTTGCAGGTACTGCATTACTAGTAGTCACTGACCAAGAGAAGGCCCACCTAAATTTCCATTGGCCCACTAGTTACTAACCAAGAAAAGGCCTGCCTAAAATTCCACTGACCCATAATTCAGTAATTCAATAGTCTATGTTGTTACTTTTAGTTGATAGAAAATATTGATTGTTTAGAATAAAGAGATCATGGCTTTGCTTATATTGTTATTGGTCTTGAAAACTAAAATCATGAGGATGATGATAAGACCTTATAGCCTGATATTTAAAAAGAAAAAGAAACGATTGCCTTGTGGGTCAGTTTGGCATATATTTAAGGTAGTCAAAATCAAGATCTTACCTATCAGAGAGGGGGGAGCACGTAAATTGTGTGATGTAACACGGATTGTAATATCTTACCTTGGATACAAAAATTATATTCAAAGATATATATATATATATATATATATATATATATATATATATATCTTTGAATATAATTTTTGTATGTGTGTTTGTGTGCATTGTTGCATTGCTGGATTTAGAATTTCCTGGGACTGGTTATTTTCTTGGAACCTCATTATTTGAGCTAACAGTTACACAGATTTGAAGATTTAATTATATTTTCCTGTTTCTTTGGTGATGTGTTTATTTAAATTGTATCAATATGCATATTCTGGTGACATATATTTTACTTTTTGTTATGATTTGTTCAGGTGGATGGGAATTTCATAGAAGGGATTTTGTCTGGCAGAAAGAGGGTTGGATACGTTTCTATATTCTTCTATGCTTCCTGGTGCCCTTTTTCACGCAGAATGCGTCCTGAGTTTGAAGTTCTTAGTTCCATGTTTCCTCAAGTAGAACATTTGGCACTTGAGCAATCGTCAGCTTTGCCAAGGTTTTGAAGCTATCCTTGCTTCTGCTCTTTAGTCTCTAGATAATTATGATATTTATGTCTTCATGCTACATGCATAATTTGGGTTTTGTATACAAGTTGCAGTGTTTGGGTCCATTCTTTGTTCAGCAGTGCCTCAGCTTCCTTTTGACTAGGCTAATGCCATGAAATAATGTTAGAGTAGATTCTTTTTTATGGTCCTTTGTAATTTATATATAGAATTTAAAGTTCATCAGAAATTATGGCATAATCAATTGTCAAACTTTATGAATTTCTTTTGATGTCTTTGTTCATATGTTTTTCCCTGCAGCTTATATTCAAAATATGGAATCCATAGCTTGCCTGCCATCTTACTGGTGAACCAGACATCTAGGGTGAGATATCATGGTCCAAACAATCTTAGCTCCCTCAAAGAATTTTATGAGAGAAACACAGGTTAGCATATCCTGAATTTTGTTTGAAAATTTATGATGAAATTCCTACGACTACCATTTCTTTCTAGAGTCTGATTTGATAGCTTGGTGATTCACCGTTAATGATCCTTGGGTGTCCTTTTTTTTAATCTCAGAATTTACATAGAAAAATTGTGTTGAAAATAACAACCATTTATATAGAATCTTAGCAAACTTCCAATGACGGATAATTACAGACAAGGTTGTTGAATCGCAATACGTATTGTGTATTGTTCAACTATTTTTTTTTGTATCGTGAATGTAATTCATGGTCTGATACATGACTAGTTCCAATACAGGTCGATAAATATCGCTTAGCTTCTGTATCATATCATATCGCACGATAAATGATATCTATCGCGCCATACTAACAACTATGTGACAGTGATAAATGATAATGACCTTACCATGTAATGCAAGCTTATATACATCACGTGCTTGTCTCAGGATTTGAAGCGAGTGATAATATTGTTGTTGGTGAACTAAGTAGCTTGATGAATGATGAACATTCAACTATGAAGTCATTGATGGGCTTCTCCCTCAAAGAAATATCAAGAAGGGAACGTTACTTAGCATTATCTATATTGTTTCTCTGTTTGAGGATTATTCTCTCTGTGTTTCCTGAGATTATGTTGCATCTCCAAGCATTCTGTCTTTCCTATGTTCCTCATTTGATCATGCAAATATTTGGAGAGACAAGCCAAGTGATGGGACGTGTTGTTAACGCAATTGATGTCAGGAGGATTTGGACCAAGCTAAGATTATGCAAGGCCAGGAACTTTCATGAAGGGGCCATGAGTGCCCGGGTTTGGGCCTCATCTCTGGCTTCTGTTTCTCTAGGTGAGTCATCATCAGCTAGGTGATAATCTCAAATCTTAATGTTTGAACTAACAATCTCAAATCTTTATGTAAAGAGTTTGTTTATTTAGATAATATTCCCAAGCTGCATAGAAGCTTGGGAACACATAGGCCTCTCTCTCCCTATTGCTAATTTTAATATTAGCAAAACGATCTTAATGTTTAAGTTGGATTTTTAGGAGAAAGCTAACATGCATGTAAATTTGAGAACAACTTCTTTGTAAATTAGTTGTGTCTAAATGAATATATACACACGTTTTCTAAGTTGAATAAGAAGCTTATTTTTTCTCCTTTTTTTTTTTTTTTGGTAATCTGTCTACTAAACTAAAATTTGGCTGAAGTAACTTGGTAGCAAGAAAGGTCCATTTCATTCACGGGTTTGTCTCCTGTTACACTGCCATCCTCTTGCTTCCAAAACTGGGGTACTGTGTCGTAGGAGACAACTGAAAGGACATACATTTTATTTTTGGTTGTGTTTTAAATTGCAGCCTTTAGAAGAATTGATGTTGACATAATTTATTTTAGAAGTTTGACTGTATTTTGATATCATTAACTACTGTTACTTCGTTTAGTATATTTGTATGGGTTTTTTTGGAAAAACTGCTGGTTTCTACTTGTCAAAATTAATTTTGAAGTATTGTCTGTAGGTGTCTGTGTGAAAATTTGATGTTCTCACTTTAAAATCAATTTTGTTAATTATAAAAGATAATTGTGACTTGTGAGGGGAATGCATAGTCTTATGTTAAAATTTCATATCATGAAAATTGTGTCTGTATCACACTTCTCTTATGAGTATTAAACATATTGAGTCCAATTATCATTTGTAAGCATTTGTTAATGTAGAAATAGATACAAAATTTTTACATGATCAGGTATGGTTATTTTTTTCATTTAAGCTTTTATCCCGCTACTAGGCCCATACGTTAACCCGTCCAATAACCATGGAAGCAGAGGTAAGTCCAATTTATGAAACTTGGGCTTTGTTATGAGTTATTTATGCCGCACTTCGACTTGTTGCTTCTTTTACAGCTTCTCAAACTATGGCAACTCTACCATTGACTTTTTGTTTCTTTTTTGTTTCTTTCTTTTTAAACCCCACTTTTGTTTTGTTTGGCTTGTGCCTATGTAAAATTATGTTAGAGCAACATTAATACATAGAATTAGTGTTTTTTTATGTTGTAGGAGATAATTTTATCTTCTACATACAAATAAAAGTATATGGAGTTCATATTTTCTTTTTCTCTTTCTTCTCTTCGCATAGCCCCACAAGGGGCGACACACTTTTATGTGTGTATTGGAGATAAAATTATTCCATACAACACGAGGAATATTAATCCCTTAATATATAGGGTTTTATTAGTCTCATTTAATATAAGATAGTTATCTTATGTTGTAGAGAGAAAATAAGTAGGTCCCATTATTACAAGAAAAAAAGAAAAAAGGTGGAGTACGAAAATCGAAGTGAGAGAACATGACATAAGATATCTTATGTAAAAAGAGAGTAATATTTTCCTAATATATATCTTAAAACTTAGTGTCTTCCCAGTTCCCATAATTCGTAACATAGGACTCGTGGGAAACATATGACATGCTATCTTCAAGCAAGGGAATGACTAGGGAATTCTATGCGTCCACAAGAGTTTGCATTTAGGTGTGAATTCTTCCAACGACTTATAATAATGGTAATTGAGACTCACACAACATCTTCTAGTTGTAATGCAAGTGAAGTTTCAGGAGGAATTCTAGAATTTTGTTAAGCTTTGTGTAGAAAAAAGACATTACATTAGTGCTTAATCACCGCACACAAACACCAGGAATGAAGAATCAATACGTCAACAATATTAAACACTGCCCGTGGCCTAATAATTAGCCTTAGGACTCTTAAACAAATTCTTTCTTTATCCTTTTGCTTTTTGGGTCAACCGTGGGCAGATGGCTAGTCAATTAAAACTTGAATAAAAGTTTCTAAAGTAAAAAATAAAAATATATGAATCTATAAAACTTCTAATTATTCCTTTCTTTCTGTTTTTGGTGTTGTGGTAAATAGTTCTTGGATTTAGTCCAATATTTGTCTTCTTAAGTAAAATGCTTTTCTAAAAAATGTTAAACCTAACAAATTTAGGAGAGTTGTACTTGATTTGTTACTTTAATATATATATTTGTTTATTTACTTTTCTAATTGGCTATGACCTATGAGCTAAGCCTACTATTTTTTTATATTTTAACCGATGGAGATTTAATAATCCTCTTATAATAAATGAAACTCACAAGTCCTTTTCGATATGAACAGGAGCCATACATGCAGGTTTTTTTATTTTCATTTTCATTTTTTATATGTAAGTTTCAGTCCCTTTTGAGTTTTGACATGGTTATCACGTTGATAGATTGGTTGACAACTGGCAATGCGTGCAAGTGACCCAAATAATTTCAATTCCATATTTTCGGTCATAGTTTTGGCCTCTGATTTGGCAGGGAAAATGACCTATCAACATCTATTTCAAAGGGTTAAAGAACGTAGCTTGCAAGAATAATACATGTATCAGTACCAAACTCAACATAATCGAACTTAACATTCACGCAGAAGCTACAAAATCACTGCTAATTGATGTAGCTAATAGCCAATTACCAATGTGGTAAGAAACCAACATTAACATGTTGTACCTAGCCGATTTTGTCAGAGTAAATGGGCAACATCAAAAGACAAACTTTAGATTTTGCAGCTGTCTTATCTTCTCAACCTTTTTTTTAAATAAATGCTCAATTTTTTTTCTTCTCCAGGTTCCTTTAATTTTGCTTCGTGGAATACTTTAAAGAAAAATATTTATTATTTTAAAGAATATAATTTTATTATTTTAGATAAAACGATATTATTTTAGTGCATAATTGGTAATCTTTTACATTCTCTCTCCTTCATGAAATTAGAAAGAGAGAGAAAGTGGAGGAAAGAAAATGTAAAAAAATTATCAATTATGCATCAAAACGATCTCGTTTCATTTAAAATAACATAAAGCTAGATTCTTTAAAAGGACAAACGTTTTTCTCATATTCTAAATAGAGATTAATGTTTCTCATATTATAGGAGATAATTTTATCTCTTACATACACATAAAAGTACGTGGAGCCCATGTAGAGTCATATGAAAAAGAGAGAGAGAAAATATACGCCCTATATACTTTTATGTGTGTGTAAGAAATAAAATTATTTCGTGCAACATTATAAACATTAATCCCTTTTAAATATGGCAAGGAAAACTATCTTGTAGAAATGTGTATATTTATATGATTGTTAGCGGTGAAGCATAGCCACGTTGAAATTAGCTGAGAAAAATGGATCTCATCTATTTTTTTATATGTTGCATGAGATAATTTTTCTCATGCAATATGAGAAACTGTATTTCCATAAATTTATCTTGTTAGTGTATCAATCTAGTGTGATTATGCTTCTTAAATTGATAGTCCACATAAGAGAAAAATAATCAAAAAACTATGGTTATTATTTATTTATCTTTTATATAATGATGGTACTAAAGTTTGAATATATAACATCATGCAAATTATTTAAATCTCTCACCACTAGATCAATTCTAATGACTTAATAACTATAAGTATAGTATAACCAGTAAAAGTAGCAACATGGGTAACTTGTCGTGCCTTCAACCCACTTCAAAATGGGTCAATTAGTTTCGCTCCACCTCGTCATTCTGCTTACATAATAAAAAAGTGAATTTTTTAAAAAAATTGTATTCTCGTATATGTAAGGGATATCGGTGTTCGCGGTCTGAATTGGATCGGTTTTGAAAGTAAAAATCATCTAATCTAATCCCTTCGGTTTGGATTTTTTTCCAAATTCGATCCGATCCAATTCATTTTTTTTTGGTTTGGATAGGCCTCAAGGATAGGAAATGAGTTTACCATCTAATAGTTATGGAGGAAAATCATCTAATAGTTATGTTATTTAAAAAAGTTTACCATCAAACACGTAAATCAACCGTATAAAATCATTTCAGCTTCACATAATGAACATGGAGGAAAATCTAAAATAAAAATAAAAATTAGAGTTCTAACATAAAAATGAAAGTATGTATAAGTTTTTAAAATATTGAAAATATAATAAGTACGAACTTTAAAAGAAGTAAGCATACTTACCTCTAGAACAACATTAAAGAGATAAGATAACTGGATCCAAATTCATTGAAAGAAATAGGGAGGTGCAAAATAACCAAAAAACTGAATCGAACCATGAATCGAACCGAACTGCCCCTTAAAATAACCGGTTTTTAAAAACCAGTTCATGAACCGAATCAATTTTTAGAACCAGTTTAAGAACCGAACCGGTTTTTAGAACCAGTTTAAGAACCGAACCATTTCCGAACCGAACCGAAATGTTTTCAAACCGAATCAAATTGATTTTTATAACTTTATTTTTTAAATTTTAAATTTTTCTTTTCAAAAGAGGGTCGACCCGAACCGGTTTTCAACCGAACCGTTTCCAACCGAACCGAACCACTTCCGAACCGAACCATTTAAACCAATTCGGTTCGATTTTTCAAAAAAACCGATTCGGTTCGACCCATGCACATCCCTAGAAAGAAGATACTCCAACTTGAAAAATCCGTTTATACATTTTTTTTTTATAAATATTTACAAATTATATTATGTATTTATGAAAATACATAATATACATTCAGGAGTACATGATATAATTTATAAGACTTTATAAATAAAAAATAGAAAAAGTGTGTATCATTTCAAAAGATGTAAAATTGTGTCATTTTAAGTGAGAGAAAGAGATAGACAAAGGAGGAGAGAGAATGGATAAAAAAATATAAAGGTGTGGGTCCCACCTCTTTGTGAGAGTGAAAGGATATAAGTTGTGTCATTTAAAATGACAAACACTTTTCCCATAAAAAATTTATAAATATAACTCTCCCCTATTATAAATTAATACTCAATTGGTAATATTTTCCTGTCTACTCTGCAGGATCTTTTTTGTTAAACACTTATTTGGTATATAATTTGGAGAGTCTGACTGGCCGTATGAGAGGATGGAAAACCATCACCATTGTTCAACTTTTTCTTTTTTTAATTACCAAAAGCATTGCAATGGTTTAATTTAGTAATGTAACTTTGAATGCGTGATTTCATGATGTGCAAGATAAGGAACCATGTAACATATCTTTTTTTCTTTTGGTAAAAAAAAAGTAGCATGCCCTAAATCAGGGGTTATTAAATTTTAAACCGTCTCATAAATGAAATAGAAAAAGGGGAAACTTCACAATGATACCAATCTATGGACACTTGTGCCTTGTTGAACAAGTCTTTTTTTTTTTTTTTTTTGCCTTCCAGAACATCAAACCCATCAGTATCATCTCAAGCACACTCCACAAGCAACCTACAATCTCTCTCTAAATCTAAACAGATAGATTGAAAGTAAAAAAGGAATATTTTCTTTTCTTCAGCAATAAAAAACCTCCCCGCTGTTGTTAGCTTACAAAATCACAATACCTCAATAAGAAAATAAAAAGTAAAATCTTTTGTTAGCTTGGCCATTACTCCCCCTCTATTTTTGCATTCAAAACTCACTTTTATCCGAAACCTAACAGTCATAATTAATTATTTTATTTAAAGTTTAGCAGTCCAATTTCCAATAGAAAATTAAAAAGAAATACACAAAGGTTCAAGAAGAATGCTACCATAGAGTCTTATGTGGGGCCATCTGGACCATTCCCTTATTTGTCATCTTTAAGATGGATAAGCACTCACTTCAAACCATATGTGTCATGACATATGAGTTCAGTCTTCACATTTCAGTAGCAAGAGGACGCCTTAATGGTGGCTCTTGCTCTTATTTGTAGTGATCAAATTCCACGCAAAACTCCACAAAAGCCACCTTCTTTGATTCATCAAATCAACACCCAATATTCAAAAAACCATCTTTTTTTATCCCCTCCTCCTTCTTCTTCTTCTTCTCTTTTTCTTATATAAACCAACCTTCCTTTTGATCACTCTTCTTGATCCAGAAGAACACTGGTGAAGATGGATATTAATGAGTGGGTGCTCCTTTCTGATGATGGCTTCCTTGATAAAAATGAAGATGGTGATGATGAGAATCAGATTCTCTTGGGGAAAAGAAACTCAGATTCAAAAAGTGTTTTTGACAATTACTTCTGCACCTCACCAAAATCCAGGAAAACCATTGAACCACCAAGGAATCATCCAAGTGTGGTTCCAAAACAACTAGTCCATGTTCCAATTCAATTGGAACCCAGAATTGGGAAGGTCCCAGATGATGGATTAGTGGAAGAAAACACTAAAGATGATGTTGGAGTCACTCTGATCCCATCACCACCCACCATAGAGAAAACCAAAGCCTCCCAGGTAGGAGGAACTGTTGTGGAAGCTGATGAAGACACTGTTTCCCAGGTTTTCTTCAAGATCAAGGAAAATGAATTTGTCGACATGAAAATGGACTCCCCAAAGTCCTGTGGTAGAGGATTGTTTCCTCCACTTGATGCTAGTGGTGCCTTGAAATTTGAGGACAAAGATGAGGCCATGGAGATCATGGCATCTCCAAGAATGAAGATTGAGAAAGAAATGGTTATCATGAATTGTGATAAAGAAGAGGAAGATGAAGAGGATACTACTGATGGTTTCAACTTATGGAAGTGGAGCTTGACTGGGGTTGGAGCTATCTGTTCTTTTGGTGTTGCTGCTGCCACAATCTGTGTCTTGTTCTTTGGAAGCCAGCAAAGAAACAAACCCCACCAGGACCAGAAGATTCGGTTCCAGATCTATGCTGATGACAAGGTCAGCAAATGTCTCACAAAAATTTTTGTTGGGTTATTTTTCAGTTATCAATTTGAATTTTTTTTAGTCCTGGTTTCATGCATAATTTAGTATAGGATTGTGATGGAATAACCAATCCTGTTATATGATGAAGTGATGTCAGAGAAAAGAAAAAAGGGAGTGGGGTGGGGGAAGAAATGGTCTTTGTTTACTGGATTTGATGTTTTCTCATATTTTAATGAGAAAATTTTGGGAAAAAAGACACAAATTTATATTTTGTTAAATGATTTACACAAAGTTTGACCGGTCAGATTTTGTGTAATCTGAAATGTTATTTTTTTTTTCTCTTCCCGATAACATCGCTGATGTGTAAATTAAAAAAAAAAAAAGTAACTTTTTTAGATTTACACAAAATCTAACTAGTCAGACTTTGTGTAAGTCACTGAATTACACAATTTATATATTTTACACAAGTGTGGAATTTTACTATTCTTGATCAGTTCATTAGATCAGGTCCAATATTCAACTGATGTGGATCTTGGGATATTGAATTATTGAAATGACCCTTAATTTTGATTGCAGAGGATTAAGGAAATGGTACAGCATGCAACCAAATTGAATGAAGCAATTTCTGCAGTAAGGGGTGTTCCTTTGAGCAGAGCTCACATAACCTATGGTGGTTACTATGATGGTCTCTGAGGCACTGATTAAGCGCCTTCATGGAACTTTTGGATTCTATAATGGGTCAACAATATGTCAAAATCTTCTATTCTGGCTTTTATCATATAGTTTTTGTGAATAGAATAATGAGGAATGGTGTCTTGTAAATAAAGTCGCAGATTAGGGGCTGTTTTAATATTATTATTTTATACATTTGCATTTGAAGGATGAAAAGGTTAGTTTGATAGTTTCGCCAAGTTATGGAGCAATGAAAGGTTTTGGAAAAGAATGAGCGGTGGTAATGGCAATGGGTATTGAAACTTGAAAATGTTAGGCATGTTCCACCAAAAGCTGAGATAAGGAGCTATAATTACATATTGTGTGCCAGCAATTATCTTTATGTATGGGATAAAGTCATGAAGGAAAGCGTGTTAAGAAATTAACACCCACTTCTATTATTAACTAATTAATTCTTGCTTATACGCTTTGAAACGATGGCACGTGAACATGTAGCAGGGTATCCTATCTGTGAAAAAATTTAATATATTTCTGTCGCATCGAATATAGTTTAAAATAAAATTATAAATTATATATTTCGAGAAATATATAGATATTTTAGATTCAAATATCTAACGTTCCGAACTAATTTTACCGTTCTTTTAAGATTTGCCCTAATTAAATTGGATGGCATAAAAAATAATTACCAGGAACTATAATGTTCTTCCATAATAGTTCTGAGGTTCAAAATTCCAACATCAGAACTTTTCGACATTAAATTAGTAAATTATAAAAAAAAAAAAAATCCATTTAAAGTGAAACATAATGTGTACCTAATAGATAGATCTCAATTCATAACAGTAATTAGAGGAGGTCTTGACGGGGGTTAAGTCCTAAGCCGCGTTATTGCTTTAGGCTTATTGACATTTACATACCACTGAACAAATACCGTGATCCAATCAAATAAATTTCGTATATTTAAGACATTAAGATTGGTTCAGTGGCGTAGGATTTGGATAAATTGTATTAGGTTATTATTTAATTTCCGCTTATATTCAAAATGCTTTTCACATACTCCTTTATTACTTCATACATAAATCGTTAGGTAACAACTGACTTCATTTCATTTTTAATAATTCAAATTTTACACCATTGCCGCATTACTTGTGTATAGTTATTATATTATAGGGTAATTGTATTCTTATGTTACAGAAAAAAAAAAAGTGGTCTTCTGCACACTTAACTTGAAGTGGGACCCACTACAAAACAGAAGAAAAAAATAAAAAAAGAAATAACACAGCTTTCTATGTATAAAAAGGAGATAAGAAAATTTGCCTATAGTATAAGATTAACATTGCCCTTTATTATATGTTAAATGTTTTTTTTTTGTTTTTTTTTTTATTTTATTTTAAACAATTGGAGGATATTAGAAAGATGTATTTAGAGAACACATTAATAATTGTCTGAAAAAAATATGTCAATGATTATGATAACAACAACAATGATTATGTCACGACTAGAGCTATTAAAACTGATTTGATCTGATCCGTTGAGTCGGATCACTAATCAATCTGATTCAATCAAATGATCAATCATGCATGCAACTTTGTCAAAAATTGTTTCAACCCCTGCTAATCCGGTTTCAATTTTTTAATTGAATCGAATATCGATTCTTGAAAATTTTGACAAAATATTTCACTATAATTACACTTTTGGAAGTTAAATTTGGCACCTAAATGTAGAGGAATGAAATGCTAACCATTAAGTCAAATCATTTTAATTATTGTATTACTTCTATTTATATATTTTTTACATAAGTTTTATTTAATCAGTTCAACCAATTATTTACGAATTGAATCAATAATCCATTAATCCATTACCTTAATCAATTCAATAACAAATCTGGGCTTAATGATAGTGATCATGACTATTTTACTAAATAAATAAATAAAAAAAATGATCGAGCCCATATATAAAGTTATATTACCTCGAATATTTCCCTTTACTAATATGCTATCAAATAAAAAATACGAATTAAGTGGATGTCATTTAAAAGAACATAAGTTGTGTTCTTTTAGTACTTACACAAAGTCTGACCGGTCAGATTTTGTGTAAATCTGACAAGTTGCTCTCTTTTTTATTTTACACATCAGCGATATGACTAGAAGAGAAAAAAAGAAAATAATTTTTCAAATTTACACAAAATATTATTGGTTAGGTTTTATATAAACGATATTTCTTATCCCTTGTGTCTTTTTAAACGATATTTCTTTTTTCCAAAGAATAAACTTCATCTTCCCAAATTATTATTATTTTTCCATTATAAAAAGGCATGACAAATAAAGCTGCAGTTTCTTATCTCTTGTGCTTACGTCTCTCTGAAAAGGGACATAGCCAAATGAATCCAAGGGCAAACTGATGAGATTTCTCCACTAAAATGAAAGATATTTGTGACATGAATCAAGCCACCATACTTTGAAGAGCAGGGAAAATGACTGATTGAACAACCGAACTATCTAACAAAATGAGATTTATGGAGACATGACCCCTCTTGAAAAAAAATGAGCCTAAAGAGGAGCACAAATGGGACACGATATTCATTGGCTGCAGTGTCAAATTAAATTTGTGACATAGTGTGGAGAGGTTAACAGGAATGAGAGTAATTGGATGATGTGATGGCCCCGATCGGAATTATGTGTTAAATACCAAGTGCTTGGAAGGAAGCAACCACCAAAACTGATTCTTCAAACCTATATAGGATATGTTTGCCATGTGATGATGTGGGGTAGCCATGGGATTCCAATAATTCAAGATTCTAAACTTCGGTTAGAAAAGGTTGGGATATCATATGAGGGAGAATCTTTGTTGAATGTGTTTCCTTGCAAATTATTTGCTCATTGAGACAATAGTAACCACTAAGCAATAATATAATTCATTAATTCGACTGGTTTTTATTCTTATTTTTATTTTTTTTTCCTTTCTCCCCGAATCTTGTCCTGATTTATTAATTAGTCTACTTGTCTATAATCATTGTAGGGGTATTAACTATTAAGAGGTTTAAATGTTAACAACTAACAAGTCCTGTCCCCTGAACAAAGAGAATATTTCAAAACAATTAGTAGTAAAAAAAATTTACTAAAGTTATCTAAATAACCTCATGTGATGCGGAGGGAAATCTTTATCTAATAAGAAATCTTTTACTCGTAAGAAGAATCTTGACTTTTATTATGTTTTTTACTCTTTGTTTTACTCTTTAAAGGTAAATGCTAAGATGTTGCATGAAAAAATAAATTATTTTTTTTCTATACGAAAGGCTAAAATTCTAAGTATTGCTTTGTTTTTGTCGAAAGAGTGATGAGTATTTAGAATGCTGAATCTTCTACAATGCTATGCTCCTTATATCTGAATTGATATTGCCAGGTTTGAATGAAAAAGGCTTTATCTCTTTCTTTTGTTTATTTTTTAACTCCTTATTTCTTGATTTTTGCATTTTTCTTCAATCTATTTATTATGTAAAATTTTTGCAACTTTTATTTATAAATCATTAATTATTTTATATATAACCCGTAAACGTAATTTTTTTTATTATGGTATTTATTATTTTGAATTTATATTTTATTAAATTAAAAGTTGAATCGAATTTATATAATAAATATAATAATAGGTCCACCAAAATGGACAACAAATTTATGTTTAGATAAATTTGATTCAACCTTTAACTATAAAATATAAATTCAAAATAATATATATATATTAATAATTCATGATTTATAATTATCTTTAAAATTTAAATTTATAGTTTGATGTATTTTGATAAATTTGTTTAAATTTGTGTTTATTATATTTTGATTAGTTTGAACTTAAATTTAATATATTTTTATAAACTTAAATTTATATATTTCAGAATAAAATAAATGAAAAATTCTTTCTCTTGCAAAAGGAGATAATGTTATCTCTTATAATTTGAAAACAACATCGTTTTGGGGTTTAGAAAAAAAAAATAATGTATTTTAATTTCCTCTTGTATTATGAATTTTAATAAAATATCCTACATTTTTTTTAAATGGCAAAAAAGTACTATTTTGTAATTGCAGGAAATAATTTTATCTCGTTTTTTCAAGAGAAACATTAATCCCTAAAATAAATTAATATTTTAAAAAAAATGAATCAAATGATAAGAAAAAATTCATATTTTAAATTTTTTTTGTTAGAGCTTATGTTTCTGTAATTGGTTAAGATATATTATAGTTATCAAATAGAAAATTAACTCAATTTCTTGTATAGTAATACAACAAAATTTACATTTGGTATATAATAAATGGGTTTAATATTTCTGTTTTTATTATAGAAATTTTTTTGTCACATTCACATAAAAATAAGTGAGTCCCAATGTAAAGAGAATAAAGAAAAAATATTAATGGATCCCACTTTTATGTAAGTATAACAAAAAACAAGATTCTGAAATAAAAGAAGAAATATTTTTTTCATAATAAATATAATATGAAAATTACAACAAATAAATTGTTGTGACTTAGTGGTTGATGTGCCAAATTTCCATGAGAAGGGAAAAATTTATGGTGCGTCAGGTCTTATGTGGTCCTTCCATTCAGTAAGTGACACTTGTATAAAAGTTTATTTTTTATTTCTCCTCTCTTCTCTTTCTTCAATAGTTGTCTCATTCTGATTGGTTAGGACCACTGAATTAATGGTGGTCCGAGACCACCAAAATTCTTCTCCATGAGATGATAGCGAGTTTGACATCCACCAATCAGTTAGATAATCTTAACGGGGTGTTTGGTATAGTAATTTTTTTTTTTTTTTTGAGAATCACGATTCTGAGAATTATGCTAAGAGAGTGAATTTCTCAGAAATATTACTAAAAAGTCATTTTGTAGACCAAAATATTGTCAAGAATGTTAGATTGAGTTTTTTTTTTTTTTTTTTTAGCTTGAGTTTCTTAATTCTATGTTTGGCTGCCGATGATACTTGGGAATATGAGCTGATTTTACAAAACTATTATTTGATAAATTTTATAAAAAAATTCCTGATATTACACAGACATGTGTGAAGATAAAACTAAGGGGAAATATATTGTAACAAGTAATGTTACTACCAATCAATTTCACCGTTAGATCGATTATGTTGATCTAACGGTTATATTTATTTTCATCTTTGTATGGTTATGATTTCACATATTTAAAGTGAAAACATTAAATATGGGAAATCATAACCATACAAAAGTGGAAATAAATATAAAGTATTAAATATGAAGAATCATAATCATACAAAGATGAAAATAAATATAACTGTTAAACTAACATAATTGATCTAACGATGAATTTGATTAGTAGTAACACTATTTGATTATGATAATATCCTATCCCTAAAACTAATTGGCCAAGTACAACCCAAACAGTAAAAAATTGACAGATTAAAAAAAAATAGCATATCCTGATAATGTAGAACAATGTGCAAACGCAGCACCACTTGTTAGTCTAAGAAGCATTTCGTCGAACACTTCAAGGTCAAAAGAATACCCAATAGCACCACAGCAAAGGAGGAAGAATTCATTCCCAAATGAGCGCAACACCAATAGCACTAAGCATGATAGCTGAGGCAAAGGAACGAGATCAACATGATGAATTGTATTTGATAAACCTATAGAAATAATAAAAAGAAAGTGTGAGAAACAGCCTTGCCCACCGGAGACACAACAACACCGGCAAACAACTGAACGATGGAGAAAGACGGAGGGCAGCGACAAGAGAGACGCGGGAAAAGGGACCTGTAACAGGCAAAAAAAAAATGTTATTTTATAAAATAACAAGATAAGGTATTTTCGAAAAAGGGTTATTTATGTTTATAAATTATGTAAAATATTTTAATCGGATCGGAATCCAGAAATATCACTCTTATGATGACATTATTTTATATGATTTTTATTCACAATTTTAATTTTCATAAATTTTATTTTTTCAGAAAAATTTCGAAAATATTTTTACCAAATGTGAGTACCTAAAATTTGTAAACGTAAGTTTTCTGAGAATCTAAAACTTATCTCTCTACCAAAACGTCTACTATTATATTTTACTAAACAAACATAAATTCCACTAATTAAACAATCAAATATCTATATATTAGACAATTAATACAGTACCATACACAATTAATTGGCAAGCTCTAACATTGGAATGGGAAAATGAAACGAAAACAAACTCGTAGTAATTACAAGAAAAACAAAACAAAAATTTAATTAATTATTTAAAAAAATAAAACAACCAAATTTTCTTTTTTTTTTGATAACAAAAACAACCAAATTAATTAATTAGACAGAGTGCACGTTCCTGATAATAAAGAACGGTTATTCATATGCTTATGTATTGCTTGACAAATGACAACTCATAATGATGTTAAAAACTCTCATGCTTTGAGCAATTTATAGCCCAAATGTATCAGCATGTTAATCGGAATCAATTTGCTCCGCACACCTTCTCCTTAAACGGCCCATAATATATCAATGAAACAACATTTGAAAAAATTGAAAAAAATAAAGACATCTCATGTTTAAAACAGAGATAAAAATAGTAATGTTGTGAGCTTTCCTAGCTTTAGGCAATTATAGCCCAAGTATATGATTATATACGAAGAAATCCCATGCTAAAAGAAGGGATAAAAACAATGATACTGTAAGTTTTCTAAGCCAAATTATAACTAAAGTACATGAGTATCCCAATCCATTATAATATATATAAGAAAATAATGCAATAATGTAAAATTAAATTATAATGTTTTCTTGTTAGCAGTCCTCCCCCAAAATTTCAAAGACAACAACGACCTCCAACCATTTTTATAACTACCTCTCCAAATCTCAAGCCTGTGAATAGGCCCGGTGAAATGGTCAACTAAGCCCAAGTTTTATGGGATTTGGTTTAACTATCTGTCCTAAACTGACTCAGTTACTAAGGCCCAAGTTTCGAAGAAGTACTAAATAAAGTTGGCAACCAACAAAACATGGCCATTTGTATTCAAATGAAGGGGGAAAAGTTTCCGATGTTACTTTAGATAACTTTATCTAATGTTCATCGAAACGACGTCGTTTTGAGGTTGGAAAATTAAAAAATTAGAGTGATAAAGACTATTATAACCCTGAAATAAATTAAAATTACAAAAATACCATGATTTCCGTCCCAAAACAATGTCGTTTTAATGAACATTAGATAAAGTTATATAAAGTAACATCAGAAAAAACAAACCCTCAAATGAATTAGCAAAAGTGTATAATCCAATAAAATCCTTTTTGAAATGTGAATTATAAAACATCAGCATTAAATATAGCAGTTCTAAATTAAAAACAAATATGATACATTATACAACTTATAAATGAATTCAATTATTTAATTAATGTCATTTAGTAGTATATTGTTTTCCATCGAACATGTAACATGTTATTGTGATACTGTGGTTACCAATGGGGAGTTATAAAAATTATAAATGAGTAATAACTATGTCATGCATGCATTCATAATATTAAAGTGAAAAATGTTCAAGTTAATCATTGCCAAAATAAATTTTCGATGAACGTAGAAGAGATTTGGGTTCGAAGAATATATGCACAAATATAAGGAAATAGATCATCTCATTTAAAAAAATATAACCATGTTATGTGGAAAGATTACAATTATTTATAATTATTAATTCATCTTTATATAGTTATAAATTATAATTACCCACATAATCATGTGATATTTTTTTTTTTTAATATGAAATGATCAAAATCTAGACACGCACATGGTCCAAAATTTCAAAGACACCCCTCTCTCTTTTGGATCAAAATCTCTTCTACACCAATGTATAGATATAGACATAGCAAAATCAACGGTGTACCATGCTAGGTGATAAATTAAGGGAGATAAAAGGTGGTGATAAATAACTCTCTTCATTGATTGGAATAGAATGAATTGCATCAGATCGAATCTTAATCGTTTACAAAAACATGGGGGAATGTATGCCTTTCCAGTTAACTTTTGAACACAAATTTAAAAACTTAGAATTATCAACTTAAATATCATCTCCAAAACATTTAGTCAATTATTGTTATAGAAAAATATAATAGTTTTTGACTAAATTACCGTCACTTTCCTCTATTAATGCTCTTTTTCATTCTATTTAAGTGGAACGCAAATAACACATTCCCTACATTCTTTTTAACCCTTTTTTTTTATCAGATAAAATTTTATGTGAGACTCATATAAAATAAGGATTTGCTTTTTCTGCAGTTACTGCAAATAAGTTATCTGCAATAAGTTCAATACGACGTCGTTTTGAGACAGAAATCATGATGTTTTTATAATTTTAATTTATTTCAGGATTATTATAGTTTTTATAATTATAATTTTTTAACCCAAAACGACGTCGTTTTGAAAGTAAATGCAAATAACTTATCTGCAGTAATTGCATAAATATTTTTCAGATAAAATAATATGGATCCACTCTCTCTTGGTGGAATTAGCATGATATTTCACCTAATAATAAACAGGGTATTGAAATAATAAATATCTTTAACATTTGTCTTTCATTTTACATAAATAAAGAATAAGAATAAATTAAAAAACTTAATATCTTCTTGATTTGTAAAATAATAAATAATTTAAAATAGTAATTTTTTTTTTAAACGAAGCCAATAATACTTTACAAAACTCCCAAATTTTAAGAAAATACAGTGCACTGTTTTCACATAAATTTAAACAAAACCACCCACACTTCAAGTCACCAAATGCTCGCAATTATGATGTTATGAGTAGAGGATTTTACAATCACCTTCTTTAAAAATCAAAGAATGTTATGATATAGAAAAATATAAGTCTCATGTCACATGAAATATGTTGTCTAATGCTATAGAAATAAAATATGAGGAATCCACCATATAAAAGAAAAAGTCAAAATTTTCAATATGAGTGGAGGAGAGGAATAGTTTCTCTACCACCGGAAAAACTTATTCCCCTATGACATATTCCAAAAAGAAAAAAAGAAAGGGTTCATTCATTCTCGTAAAACTAGAAAAAATTATTGCTCTTTATAAAGTCTAATTTATACCTTTTTCTTTTTTCCGGTAAACTAATTTATACCGTTTAATTTGACTCTAACAGTGTATTGTAGTTCTTAAAACTTCAAAAAAGGATAAAATGATTCTCAAACTTTTAGCACTGCGAGGCAGTCTTTTTGACCGACGGCTGTTCAAACATTGACAAATATTATTACGTAGCAATCATGAGTTATGTTATGTGCCCATTTTATAAAATTTGATAAATTTTAAGACTTTTTTTATTTTATTTTTTTGGTGAGGTAAGACTTTAAATTTTGAGAAATCATTTTTTTCATTTTACATAAAATAATTATCTCTGACAATATTGTGTTTACATGGTGTAAAGTTGTAAAAATATAAATTCGACTTTTATCTTTAAAGTTTATAATTTCTTCTGACGTTATGCGTTGATTTAATGTCATATCAAGTTGGCAGAACTCGGTTTCCTGACAGAGGGTTGCCAAGACATAAGTTTGTCTTTAAATTAGTTTATTTCAAGAAAAGAAAAAATCAATAATTTTTTGAGAATATTTAAAAAAAGTAATTATTTTTATATAAAAACTATTAAAACAAACATTCAACAAACCACGTTCAGTGTCTTGCTCAAACAAAGAAACTCTGAAGTCCTTTTTTTTATTTCAAGAAAAAAGGGAAACTTTTGTGAGCTATAATAACAAACCAAAATTGTTTTTTTTGGGGAATAATAAATTTGCACATGATATATAAATTAATGTGAAATTAATAGGACCTAAAACTGAAAACAATAACGTTGCACGCTTGATTACCCCCCACAAAAGAAGAAATTAAAAGGAAGCTTAATTAAAAGATAAAAATGGGGTCAAATGAGTGAAACCAAACAAATCACAATAAGATTACATAGTCACAACCCATAAAAAGTACAATGAGGAATGAATGTGTTACATAAGAATATGAATGATTAATAATATAGAAAAACATAACAACCTCTGCACAAATCGAACTTCACATGTAAATTAGAAACCAAATCCGGTTGAGGAATCAGAAGACAAAGCCAAATGCAAGAGCAATGAGAGAAGCAAAAGCAGTTGGCACAAAGAGGGTGGTGGCATCTGATGTGGGACTTGGTGCTGGTGCCTCAGCAGCTGAGACATTTGTTGCTGCCATAACCAACATCACCACCATAGCCAAGAAAAGCTTCATCTTCAAAGCCTCCATTGCTCAAAAATGTTCTCTTTTTTTTTCTTCTTTTTTCTTGTTGTGAGAAAGAGAAAGAGAAAGTCTTTTGAGACAATGTGTAGTGGGTGGAGAACATTGTGCGGCTAAGGGTGATTTTATATAGTTGGTGGCAAAGGGAAGATTGTTGGACAGTGCGTCTTTATTGGAATCCTTGGTGCCATACAGCTGTCGCCAACGGTTTGTAGGGTCACCCTTCTTTTTTTCCTTAATTTTTTAAAGTTTTCTTTTTTTGAAAAAATTAAATAAAAAATTACAAAACTATATAACTTTTCAACGGCTTTGGTTGAAGGAAAATAATTGGAGTGATTTGTGTCTTGTTGTGGTTGCCGGTTGGCCACTTATTCTTTGTTATTTTTGGTCATAATAATTTGGGGTGTAATACTTAAATATTTTTAGCAATTTACTTTTTGTATTTAATTGTTTTTTTTTTCCTTGTTGTTTCCAATACGTAGATAATTTAACAAAATCGTGGGGTGGTGGTAAGTATTGTTGAGCTGTTTTGAGACTTTTTTTTTTATTATTTGGTGGAAAGAGACTTCTGTTATCTGGATATTCACTTATTCTTCCAATTGTTTGTGTATATATAATACGATTTGGACATTGATAACTTTGATGTCAACCTACTAATCTCATTAACTTATTCTCTCACGTTTCTCTTCGGGTTCGTGATTATCAAGTATCTTTTAAAATCCTCATTTTAATGGCTTTTTAAGAGAATTGTTACAATACTTTTTTTAGTACATAGAATTGTTGCAATACTTACAAGGGTTATTTTCTTCATTTATTAGTTAAGATAATTAATAAAAGAAATTTAAAATTATTCTTTCACGACAATACTTGTTTTTCTGCTTTCGTTGCTTTTTGTTTTATTTTATTTTATATTTTGTTGGTTTGTTTTTTCAGTTTCATGTATAAAAAAAAGGATATATATATAAATCAGATCAAAAAAGGATATATATAAATGATAGTTTTATATGTATCATTAATTTTGGTGCTTCAGGCTCCATGTGATCTTTCTATTAAGGAGGTGATATTTGGATAAAATTTTATTTTTCATTTCTCTTCTCTCCTTTTTATTTTCTTCCGTAATTAATTTAATTTTGATTAATTTGGACGACTGAATTAATAATAATTCGGGACCACAAAATTTTTCTCCTAATGGAGAATTTTATAGGAACCTCACATTCATAACTCTCTTGCCCTTGATATAAAGAACTGGCATAGCAACATGACAATTGAGTTCACGAGCAACAACCACTGAGATATACACGTATCAATGGATATCCATCGCAATTTTCTCTTGTGAACCTCATCAAATGATGTTCGTTTAATTTCAGTTTTGTGTGGCTTTTAATAGGAAACGTGTTGTGTGAATACATGTACTACTATTTTCACATTTTGTCATCAACACTACTGCACATTCCTTCTTTTGTATTTGATCAAACATTAATTCATAACAAGGATATAATTTAGTTCAAATTTTGGGATTTCAAAATTCAGAAACAAACTATACTAGTTGACTTCAAAAAATATGAAAAGAAGCCTTATGTACATATGTTAAAAAAGTGAAATAACAATAATGGTGACTATAACGTAAACTTTACACTTCGAGTTCATGAGTTCATAGGTTGTGCTTATGAATAGTGGTTTAGCAATCAGATCAAATAATTGATACCGGCAAAGTTGCTGAAATGGTCTTCATTCACTTCTTTGGTCTTAACGGTTCCTTAATTTTTTATGTTTTTTTTTTCTTTTTCTTAAAGTGATGCAGAACTTAAAGCTACTCAATACCAAATTCATACTTTAAATGTGCACTTGCTTTTCTAACACACCAACTTTTTTATTTTTCAAAAAGGAGTGTTCATAACGGTATATATAGTTGTGCATTTCAGAAGATGAGAAGGAAGATATTTAGATTCTTGAGTTGATCACCTAATATGGGAAATTGGGACCCCCACGCCCCATAATCCACTGAAATTGTGGCAAGTTAAAATGCTCTAATTCAAAGTGGAGACAAATTTTGTTGGCTTTAAATTTAAAGTGTGACCATATTCAATGGGACAATAATAGCTACAAACAAAATAACAAAAGAGAACAATATATACGTTCATATATTGTTTTCTGGAAATGGGGCGAGGCAGTAGTGAAAGGAAACTACAAAGGGATGGTCCCCTGAGTTGCTTCCAAACCTAGCAATATTCCAACTTTGGTCTCTGTCAGCATGTCTGGAATCCAGATGTTAAATCATAACTACCACTAGTACATCACCCAAAAATCTAGGTAGTTTCTTGCATGTGAATATGCTTCATTAGGGTATTGTCAAATATCTCGGTGTCAAATTATATATCTCTAGTGAGTTTAGAGTTGACAAAATGCTTCTTTTTTGCTTTGGGATTTAAATTTGATTGGCTGTGTAAAATTCTCCATTCATATTTATAATTATGTGCTATACATAATTATTAAAAAAAATAAACTTCTTAATAATTTAATAATATAAAATTAGATGATGTTGCTATAAAGAAGATTACGTTGGTAACAATCTATACATATAGAAAATATTACATGGATAAATGTGATTATATATATATATATATATATATATATATATATATATATATATATGAGTTTAGTGTGTCATTCAAAAGGACACAAGTTGTGTCATTTTAGTGATTTGTAATTCTGAAAAGTTATTTTTTTTTCACTTTACACGTCAGCGATATGACTGGGGAGAGAGAAAAAAAGTAACTTTCCAGTTTTACACAAAGTACGACCGGTCGTACTTTGTGTAAAACACCTAAAATGACACAAGTTTGTGTCATTCAAAAGGATACTTCTTTTTCCCTATATATATATATATATATATATATATATATATATATATATATATATATATATATATATATATATAGGGAAACATATTTCTACAGCCACTTTAAATAAGGTTGTCTACAGCTACTCCTTTTTCAGTAAGTACGACCGGTTGTACTTAGTGATAACAATAAAGCTGTTCTTTTTTTCTCTTTCCTCAGACATTGTCGGCTGACGTGGCGGAGAGAGAAGATGCAATTTTAATGTACGACCGGTCATACTTAGTGAAAAAAGGGTAGCTGTAGAGAAGCTTATCTAATTATCTAAAGTGACTGCAGAAATATTTTCCCCATATATATATGAGATACATTATATTTACAAAAATTTTGTTTACAAACTACACTATGTATTCCGGGGAGAGTACATTCCTAAATGAGTGTAGTTCCCATAATACATAGTGTAATTTACATAATATGGAAATATAAACGTTTTGTTGCAATATTTCATGCTAACCCTTCAAACAGTGTGCCAACGTTCTTTTATTTTTTTTTCATTTTTTTTACAATGAGACCCATTGAATTTTATCCGTGTAGAAGTTCTGAAATCTTTATACAACATGACATAAATAAATCCCATATATATTGGTGATAAATTTTGCTATAAATTATAACTCATAATCCACTAGGGCTAGCCTAGTGGTGTGGGTGTGTGTAATAGGGTGTGTGTGAGTGTGTGGTTGTGTGTTCTATTTCCTGTAACCTACAAAAAAATTATAACTCATAAAGATTATATAATTATTCTTTCTATAAATTATTTTAGTCAGGGAAGTTCATTTGGATGGGGAAAACTATAGTGTGTGGAAATCTGTCACGCTACTCAATGAGTTTCCATCAAAATAAAAATTTTCTTTGAAGCATTCATGGTGGTTGATTTTCTGGTCTGAGAGTAGCTTGGTACGTCTTACCCTTTCATGAAGTTTAATTGCATAAACGATTTGTCCATTATGTAGGGAAGAGATAATCAAATAAGTTCTTCACCTTTTATAAGTTAAATGCCCTCATGCTCGACGATTCATGTTTACTATCTCCCTCATTGGTGGAATAAGGTTCACGTCTACAACACCAGCTTTGAAGACCAAAAAACTATAAGTTGCAACTTTTATAACTTGAAGACTATTGAAGAACCACATTAAATAAAAGGTTCTTTTACAAGGCTAATACCCGAGTCTAGAATAAGGGGTTTTCATTCTTTGAATCAATCTGTTTTAGAAAGATGATTCAATTTTTAAATCGGTTTAATTTTTTTTTTTCGGTTCTTAAAATAATTAAAAAAAAAATATTGATTGTCACATAATGTCATATTGCATCATTGCAGATTATATTGATTGCAAGGTTGCAACTAAGTTGGACATAACATTTTTGCAGATTATGTTGATTGTATACATCTTTATTTTTTTCGAGACACGGATATGCTAACTTGTCTTTAAAATTGATACAGTGCGAAGTTTTTTAAGTTTTGATTGTTGTGTTGATCTTAAAGATTTAATCCTTCACTAGGTTGCTTTTCCTCTTCTTATTTTTTCCCCTATCTAAATGCTTAGGTTTCTAATATGAAAAAAAATAAATAAAAAAATTGACGATTTTACATGAAAAAATAAGACATAATCTTCTCAATTAGACCTGCCACAATATAAGTTAAAGAGTAGTAGAACACTCATGCAACGCAAGTATTTAAATTTCGGTATAAAAGATAAGTAAATCAACTTTGATGTTGCTCCATAAATTTTGAAGTCACACTTAAGCAGCATTTGAATTGTGCAACATTACATGCAAAACTAAAACATAACATTCAAATCTCCTGCGATGTTACTAATTTTATAAAATTTATGTAGATAGTTGCTTTAATCTTAAAAAAATTCTAACTTAAATTTCGTTTAATAGTGGTTTTTTTTTTTTAATAATCAACATATATCATTAAATTGAAAAAAACAAGATGTGAAAGTAACCCAAGACATTACATGTTTAAGTATCTATGGAAAGATCAGAGATGCTCACCCCCGAACAAAGTGATGATCTTAACATTTTAGGCACAACAAAGATTCTGGCTTTGAGAGTGTTGCAGATTATTTGGCAGTGTCCTACGACTGCAGAGTCCTTTTCTGCTTAGAGCCATGTGTCTTTGCTTCTGTTTTGGGCCCATAAGACTTGGCTATTGCTACAGCGTCAAAGTTGTTTTATTAGATATCTCCACAAAAAAAAATTTGTTTTATTAGTGTGGGAAAAAAGCATAAATATGTTTAGGAATTTTAGGGTAATTTTTTTGAAGGGATAGGATATTGTGACAACCAAATAATGTTACTACCACATCTTAATCGTTGATTTCTGTCAATCAACGGTTATCATTTATTGTGAATTAATAATTAATTAATGAGTTTGATTTGAAAAATGATATCCGTTGATTAACGGAAATCAACGGTTAAGATGTAGTAGTAACATTATTTAGTTGTCACAATATCCTCTCACTTTTTTTTTTTAAAGTATTTAACTATTGTTTAAATGTGTGATATCATACCATTTGCAGTTAAATTGTTGTACTGATGTAGATTTTGATTTTAATAGGAGGTTTTGAGATTGAATCATGAGGAAAATAATGCTGAGAGTCAGCTCCAATATTATTAGTTTAATTTTGTTCGAACTAAATTAAACCAGTTTGAATAAAAAAAACCATTTGGTTAAATACATTGATTTGCGCTTTATTATGAAATGTTGGGATAATTAATTTTCAGCAATAAAATATGAAAAAAATAAATCTTATGTTGTAGGAGAATTTTAATCTCATGTCATAGATACATAAAATGTGAGATCCACTTATTAAAAATAAAATAAAAAATATGAGTGACACATCTTTTTATAATATATGTAAAAAAAGTTTGTTTTCTCAAATATGAGAAAAACAAATCTCATAAAATATTCATGTAACGCATACCGTTACATAGTACAATGATCAACGATATTTTCAACATTTCAAAAAAAAAAAAAACTACATAGAAAGAGGAAGGCGTTAAAATTTTGTTGTTATTCACATTATTCTACGTAGCATGGACCTTGAGGAGCTTGTGTCTATGTCTTTAAATATTTCAAATTAAAATAATCCAAGCAATTGATAGCAAAGTGTTGGTAATTGTTAGGATTATGAAATGAGCTTAGCCTTTACGCTAACGAACATGTCAGGAAAAATATCCAGTCACTGTCAAAAGACTCAACTAGTAAAATTTTGGTAGTACTAATGTTATATTATTTTTAAAATTATAACCAATATCAAGATTATATCATAATTTTTTTTAAAAATATGTAACATATTTTAAAATCAGCTGGTGCCAAAGCAACCGCTAAAAACCAAGTGAGTGCGCCACTACTAATGAAAATATGGAACAGAACAAATTATAAAGTTACAAAGTTCAAACTACATGTTAACAAAATCATACCAACCTAAATTAACCCTATAAGTTACTCTAAAAATTCACACAACCAATGGATCTTAGACCCTAAAAATAATGGATAATATTTTTCTCCTTTTACATGACACAAGCTATTTTCCTACACAAACATAAAAGTGGGCCCATCAATTCTTTTACTTTTCTTTTATTTTAAAAATAGTGGACTCCACAATTGATTATCTCTATAACATGACTTAAAAATTTTCCTACAACATAATATTAATTTTTCCAAAAAATAATAACGGGGGTAAATTAGATAAATGAAAAAGCTTTTTTTGTTTTTATACCAGTAATTTGCTTTGGGTTGAAACAAAAAGAGAGGCCACTATCTTTAGATGGGCCACGATATGACCCTGAATAGAAGTCATGTTTTATTTAGTTTTTGGCCCAAAAGATAAGTTCTGCATCTGTTCTTTACGAATTGCCATATAGAAATTGGGTCTTGAAAGAAGCCCAAGCCCATGACCAGATCTAGGCCCAGGCCTAAGCCCATGGTAAAAACAAAAGCACGATACTAGGTTTTTTGTTTATCAATTATGGGTTTTATTAATGGGAAAAATGTTTGTAATTTTAAAAAACAGAAAGTTATGTTATTTTAAGAGAGATACAGACATAGAAAATTTAAATTTTAAATTAAAAAAAACCACCCACTTTCTCTCTCCCATGATTTCTGTTTTTCTGTGTCTATCTCTCTCCTAAAATGACATAACTTATGTCATTTAAAATGATAAACAACAAACCCTTTATTAATATTATGTTACATAACTTAAGTTTTGTTTCCAACACACACACACAACAAAAAGGAGAGAGAAAATGGATAGACGAAAGAGAAAGAAAAACATGTGGATCTCACCTCTTTAATGCTTGTGTAGAAAAGTGAAGTTGTTTTATGTTACATGATAAACATAAAACCCATCAATTATTGAGATAAAAAAGGGAAGTTGAGTTTGAGGGTGAGGAGCCCACAAAACTCTGATCAATCAGCAAACCCTTAACTTGGAAATCCAACGGCTGTGATTGTGTCTAGTTTTTGTAGTCACTTCAGAGGAAGGATAAATAGACAAAGCCAGAGACATGGCAAGAGAAGAGAATAACCCGCAAACTCTGTTTCAGTTTGAGAGAGAGAGAGAGAGAGAGAAAGTGCAGCAGAATACACGAACATCACTTCTGCAAGGCAGAGAAGGGAAGAAGAGAAAGAACACGTTTGCAAAAGAAGAAAGTTTGCAAATTTAACAACAGAGAAGAAGATCTGTGTTTTTTTTTTCGTTTGAAGAGGAAAACACATACCCTTCCTCTCTGAACCTGAATTTGTATCATTGTAAGTTTTCATCTTTTCATTCGAGGGTCTGTTGCAAACGGATTTGTTATCTTCATCTGTTCTTTGTTCTGACACTTTTTCTGTGTTTCATGTTTCAGGATAGCTTTTTGTAAAGGATTTATCTTCTTTGAAGCATAGATCTTGAGGTTGGAGGCAACCCTTTTCCGTCTTTTTCATCTTCTCCAATTCTCCTTAATCCTTATCTGCGTCTCGTTTTGGACAATCCACCACACTCCACACCCTTAAACTTGAATTGGGTTTTTTGTGGTGGAAATTGTCCGTTTCTCTTTTCTGTGTTTTTTGAGTTCGTTCTGTACTGAAAAAAATTCTAGCTTGATAATCGTTTTTTTTTTTTTTTGGTTTTTATTGTGAGGCAGATATGGAGACAGAGGAGAGGAACCAGAGAGCGTTTAAGGGTTCAGAGCCAGAGTTTTTCTTGCAGTGGGGGAATAAGAAGCGGTTGAGATGTGTGAGGGTGAAAGACCCTCGGATTTCAGCAAGGCTTAACGGTGGAATCCGAAGGAAGATAGCTTCTGCAGTGGATCATCGTTCTGGACTCGCTCTTTCGGAGAAAGAAACTTCGCATCTTCATCAACAACCCAATCGCCTCACAAGGTTGTCACAACAACATCAAACGAGGGATCTCCTCATAATCTACCCCAACTCTTCCTTTTTCTAATTTTGTTTTTCCCAGAAAAACTGGGATTTGTGTTGATGTAATGTAATGATGCTGTTTTCCTCTGGTTGATTGCTGAGAAACTCTCAAAGAGAGGAAAAAAATCCTTTATTTATTCAAATCCTTCTTTTTTGGTTTCACAGAAAAAAAATGGGGGGTTTTGATTGTTGTATTGTTGTGATATTGAAATGCAAGGATGTTGTTTCCTTTTGTTTGGTTGTTGGGAAATTTTCTGTTGAGGAAGAGAAGCAGCAAGGAGAGAAAAATTTCCCCCTTTTTCCATTCATTCTGCTAAGTTTCCCCGGAAAAAGATGGGGGTTTTGGGTGATGTTACGATGTTAAAAATCAAATTTTTTGCATACCCAGATGCGATAAGCATGTACTTTCTCTCCTGGGTGGAACTCTTTTTTTTTTTTTTTTTAAAGAATATGAGAGCATTGGATCTGTAATATGTGTGAAAATGTTTGAAATTTGCTTCTTTTCTTTGTTCCGTTCTGATTTGATGTGGAATTTGGGTGCAGGAATTCCGACGGGGCTATTCTCCGGTCGGCGGCCGGGGAGAACAGGAAATCGGCGTCGCCGGAGAAGGAAGACCGGTACTACATAACGAGGGGTTCTGCGGAGGAGAACGGCAAAGTCTCCGCCGATGTGAACAACGGAGAGGAAAGAGCTCTGGTGTGGCCAAAGCTTTACATAACCCTCTCTAGCAAAGAGAAAGAGGAGGATTTTCTTGCTATGAAGGGTTGCAAGCTTCCTCAGAGACCCAAAAAGAGGGCTAAGATAATCCAAAGAAGCCTACTTGTGAGTTTTTTTTTTTTCTCTTTTTTAATTTTTAAATGTTTTAAGTTTTTTGTGGGGGTAAAAATGGGAAATTTAGATGTTGGGGTGGTTTTTTTTTTTTTTTTTTATTGGTGATTTGAGTTGGATCTTCATTCTCACCACCACCTTATCTTGTCCACTTGTGTTTTGTTTGGTGCTTCTGTTACAGTCGGTGAGTCCTGGCGCGTGGTTGACTGATATGTGCCAAGAGAGATATGAAGTTAGGGAGAAGAAAAGTAACAAGAAGGTACGTGGTTGGTGGGGTTTACTTTTTTTACTGTAACTGGATCTACAACTACCATGCCTTGTGTTTTTGCTTTCTTATCTCCTTTCATGCTATTAATTGCTAAAGGGTTCTTATTTTTGGGTTTTGGATGCAGAGGCCAAGAGGATTGAAGGCCATGGGGAGTATAGAAAGTGATTCTGAATGATGATGATGATGTAATAACATTTGAAGCGGATCCACAACCATCACACGAGGGGGAACCAAGCTCTTTTCTGCTGATACATGAAATGTTTTGAAGATGATGATGATATTTGAGTTGATGCTATTCAAGTTTTTTAAGTTTATGTTTCACAAGTCTGTAGGGAAAGGCGTATATGCCCCTTCATGTTTTTGTAAACGAGTAAGATCCGATCCAATACATTTCAATCAATGAAAATTATTTTTCTCAGCTTATGTCATTCTTCATCTCTCTATTTTTTGTTTATCTTCCTTTATGAAGGTTTGAATATGATCCTTCCCCCCTCAGTTACGTTTTGTTTTCTTCTGGCGTGCACTCGTTAATTAATTTCAGCTACCCTCTTCATGGTGTTCTTTCTTGTCTCTCTATTTCTTTTTTCCTTTTTCCATGGTTTCAAGATAAGCCTTGATGGAAATTGGGAGTTGGAGATTGGATGATCCTTTTTCGCAAACCAATTTGTGCATATGCTATGCCCCACATCATATGCTGGATGCTACAAGTCATGTAGGTTTTGACCATCAGAAGAAGTTTGAAAACAATTAAAAGATAGGGTTTTATTAGTGTTACTTATCATAATGTAAGTGTTGTTTCCAACTCTCACATCAGAAGAAGTTTGAAAACAATTACAAGATAGGGTTTATCATAATGTAAGTGTTGTTTTCAACTCTCACATTAAAAGGGAAAGAGAAAGTGGAATGATGAAAGAGAAAGAAAAATATATGGACTCCACCTCTTTAATGTGTGTAGGAAAGTGAAGTTATATTATGTTAAATAATAAACATAAAATCCTAAAAGATAATGGTTACCAATAAGGAAAGAAATATTTCAAGGGGGAATGGATGTGTTAATTAATATATTCATGTTACATCCTAATTATTGATGGAGAAATTAATGGCGATGATTTTTTATTTTAATATTTTTTTTCTCATTTTTTATTGTCATTGATTTGTGCATGAATGACTAAGATGTTTTCACAAGGTTATTAAAATCGAGATTCTAAGTAAAATTAGAAAGTGTTAAAAAATCGTAAAATGTAAAATCGTAATGTAAAAAAAATATAAGAAATCATAAAAACGTAAAACTATTTGAAATGTTAGTAAAATTGTTTTAATGAAAAAAATCGTAAAAACGTAAAATCTAAAAAAAATATAAGAAATCATAAAAACGTAAAACTATTTGAAATGTTAGTAAAATTGTTTTAATGAAAAAAATCGTAAAAACGTAAAATCGAAATTTTAACAACTATAATTTTTTCACGTAAGATGATCATATTAACAAACAAATCAGAAGATCCACTCTGATTTTAAGGAGCGGAAGTCTGGGGCATATCCATCTTCTGGCAGGGTAGGCATGAGGCCAAATAAAGCATCATCTAAACTCTTGTTGATTTTGTTGTGTCTATATCTAAACTCTTGCTTAGTAGAGATTTTAATCGGAAAAGAAATGAGACGTGTCTCTGGAATTATGGACCATGTGCGTGTCTAGCCTTAAACATAATAATACCCTTTTGTGCCCAAATCTCTGCTACCAAATACTATTCAAAGCATGACACTGAAAGTTAAAACAAAGTAAAGTTTTTATTTAAAGATGTAGGATATTCTTACTACTTATTTTTTTTACTATTACTTCATTACCACTCTAATAACCATTGGGTTAGAGGAAAAGTTGAATGAAGAGAGAGAAAAAAAAATAATTTTTGAATCCAATGGTAAATTAAAGTGGTAGTGGAGTAGTAGTAGAAAAAATTGGTAGTAAGAATATCCTACCTCTTATTTAAAAATGATCTAATATGTGCAGCTAGTAACGTACAATTATTATTATTTATACAATTTGAGCAAATAAAGATAGGATTTACAATGATTACAATTACGCGCTTGTCTCTAGAAAGTTATATCAAAGTTGAAACAAAGAAAGAGGAGTTACCATTCTACTTTTGCCTATGCAATCTAAGAGGGCCTATTGAATTTTGACAAGCTTACCACCTGATTCTCTTATTAGTCAAGTGATTATTTGCTGAAAGTGCTCATGCCTATGTATGTGGTTAAGTGTGTATACCCCAAAGGCATAAACCATGCCACCAAAATTTCCATGATCCATTCAAACCTCATGCTGCATTTACATCTGCAAGAGTCATTCAGCAAGGGTAGTTGTGACGCGTGAAAGGGGATTAAAGTACAAGTTTCTGATTATTTATCAGCGATATGCATGTTTTTTATTTGTTTCCTTTTATTTCTTTGAGCATTACGAAAATGAATAAGAAAAAAATAAAATAACAGTTGGGGTATGTTCAATCATCCTAACAAAGGGTTTACGCATCAGCTGCTAGAAAATGATCACCCTTTGGAGCAGAGGAAAAAACAAAGGGTAGCCAATATTTCCCTTTTGGTTTTTTGGTTGGCTTTTGTTTTCAGCTACATTTACGCAATTGGATATAAAAATGGATAAATTATAGTTTATCTCTCGTCACTTAATACAAAAATTGACCTTTTGTCATTGAAAAAATATTGGTTACGTAATAACAGAATAAATCATTGATCATACAATCATAAGATTCATAACACTAAAGAGTTTCATAAAATCATTCAAAAAAAAAAAAAAAAAGTTGTTGTATTACAAAAATGACTTGTTTTAACGCGCTGAGCTTTGGTCGTGTGCAGCAATAAATAAACTATCCCTCTTGTCAAATATTATCTCTAGAATAATTTAAATAACTTCAATTATGAAAAATATAACCCTTCGGTTATATTATTTTATATTAAAATATTACATTTTATCAATACTCTCTTGTTCTATATCAAGATGTTTTCTTTACTTTTAAAACAATACATAACATAAAACAAAAACTACTAAGGTGCAATAAAATCACCTCGTAGTGCAGCAGAAAAGCAGATTTCGTATAAGCTTGTTTGGGTTAAAATTGGCTATACTGCCCCAGAATGTACAAGTTGAAGTGTTAGACATAATAACTCTAGCCTCCCCTATAATAGCTACGTCCAAAAAGAGGGTATGGTGCAAACTTCATTTCAGTTACATTCTCTCAAGTGAAGTCTTTAAAAACAGATGTGACTTCTCTGTACTTTCTCATACCTGGATATCCCTTCAAGGGAAAGTAGTGTACAAAAGTCTCAAACTGTTCTTTTCTTTGAACTTGTGATGGATCAAGTGCGTATTCACAAATTCTAAAGTTTTGTGAAATACAGCAGACATGTGGTATATATTATGGCACAACATCCAGCGAATTATGTGTAGAAATTATTGTTGTATGTATACAAAAATAAAAATTATTTGTTGTTTCTCAAAGGATTATTCATACACCCTGGACGAAGATATCATAACCATTTATGTACAAAAGGGTTTGTGTCTTTGAGAGACTACCACACCACTTCTATTTCTTAATATTCAAAGTGTTTTCCCACATGAAAAAAAAATCCCAAATAGCGTATAAGAGAAGAAGTAAACAAAGTCAACCATTTGCTTTGACATCTCATCTTTGAAAAGTATAACTGCTTTTATTTGTCCGCTTTTCGATGTACACATTTTGTCCTCTCCCGAGGAAGGTTGACTGGTGGATGCTGCAGCATTTAAAAAAAAGAAAGGGATGAGAACAGATAGAACTTCTCATACAACCCCATTCTTGAAAAAGTGTCTTCTTCACTACTTTTTTGACATTTTGAAAGCTTTATTACAATTCATGACTGTATCGGTTCCTTTGACTTTTAAACCAGGCCACTCAAATTCAGGATTACCAAAGACAAATAATTTGCAAGTTGGTCTAATTGAAGGCATGGCCAACTCATGCAAGTACTTGGCATAAATAGAATTAACAATATATGGTATATCTAATTGCAAGGCATGGCCAACTTATCTCTGAATGAAGAAAAATGACAAATCTTAGAGACCAAAGCACGTCAATTGATTGAAGTATTTTTGAATGAGCACCTGTTCATCTTTGATCTGTTGAGTAATCAATCAACTTGAGGCCTAGCAGCTTGAAGCATCTCAACAATGAGAGTCTTAACATCCCTACAAGAAAAACAGTAAAAAATTTACTTTCTGCAGAAAATAAAACCAACCAACATGCTGCATTTAACAATTACTTTTTTTATTACTTATTAGAAAAGCTTAAGCCCTTGACAATAGGTAGCTCATGAACTAGTTATTCAGCAAGGAGTCCTTGGCATGAACATGATTAATTCCATCCCAAAAGGATGACAAAAGAACGGAAAGGAATAACAGAGGAGGTTTTTATCTGCTATTTAACAGCAAAAGCCTAGACTAATACAGTCATTCTATCATTTTCATCAAAGTTTACACCAAAGCACAGATTTGTGTAAATAAACTGGAAAACAGAAGAGAACATTTAAACTAACGAATATAGATGTGTCCATTTCTACAAAAGATGGGAGTTTATATCAAATATGATGTCTTACTTTCTATCTTCAGCACGTCGAGGGAAAGGTACACGGAGCTTGAAAGTATCACCCTGGTAACCAGCCTACAAAAAAATAAAAAATTAATTCTTCAAATAAAGAAGGTAGAGATTTCAAACTCAGAAAAACAATTAAACACTCACCATAACTGCAAATGAGGAGAAAAACTACTGAAAGGACCAACTAAAGTATTAAAGATTTCATTTGTCCAATTTATAGGTGAATTTTAAAAAATTTAAAATTAAAAGTAGTGCCTAAAGGAATGGGAAATATAGAAGATATTGAAACAAATAACAGTGGCAATACCTTAACATTGAAACCAAGACTATCCAAATCTAGTATGTATGCAAAGTCCACCTGCAGATGATCAATTCAGTTAACATTAAGGCTGAACATCATCAGTCCCTCCCCAGCAGAAAAGAAGAAAGAATTTGGGTCCATATATTCTTTTTGGAACATATTATTTTATTTTAATTGGCGTTTTCCACAATGTGCACCGTAATGCCCTATGATTGATAGCATTGATAACTCACCAATGTAATTAATATACATGATAATCAGAAATTTATCCTAGTAGATTTTCTTATGCCTGTTCATTCAGCTTCCCACTGAATATTACTGTCCCATTCACTATGATATCATATTGCATACTGGCTTAACAAAGGAATTTTACATGATAAAAACAGGTGAATTGTAGAGCCTCCTTTCTTATTTCTATTGTATGCTGTACAATGTTCAAAGATGACATACCGGAACTGAGGTCCAGTGCTGGACAATCACTTTTGTATCATCAGCATGATCTTTGTTCATATGAGACTGTCAAATAATAATGTTTATATTAGAATTAAAAAAGGCCGACTTATGAAAGACATTGTAGAAATGTAACATGATGGACAGTTAGAAATCAGTACCGCCACTGGCTTGGAAAACTGAGCTATGGGATCAATTTTTGCAGATTTATACTCATCTCCACTAAACTCTGAAGTCAAAGTGAAAATTAAATTAAATGGTGTAATAGATAACATAGAAAACACACAAGAAATTCACTTGTGGTTCAGAGATGATATTTGCTCATTTCTGAAGCTTCCATTTGTGATGGCAAGACATTATGATTGGCACCAATTCTAAAGATTTTAAATAAAAAGTTTTCACCTCAAAACGCAATGATTCATTATGTATTCATTGCAATGTATGCTATCCTAAAGCAAGATAACGAGTACAGTTTTGAATCAAAGCCACCAACTTGAGAGATACAGTTCTTATCATCCTTCATGATGCAGAAAACAAAGAAATCCTCAACTTGAAAATGAAATGATCTCAGGACTTTGATTGAATTCTTCGTAATATTTACTGGTAGGAGTTAGGATGTTTTCACATTACTTTAGGGGTATTCTTAATTTGATGTTTTAGTGTTTCTTAATTAGTTAGGAAGTCAACAGGTACCCTTCACAGAAAAAATACTCCCCTAAAAGTGAGTTTGTCTCTAATGTGAGCAAGTACGGGTGAATCCATTATTAAATTTTAGTGGGTTGAGATCACAGTACACTTTAAATTAAATCAAAAGTGGATACACTCTTACTTGCTCACTTTAGGGACAAACTCACTTTAGAATAGCTTTGTCCCACTTCATGGCACCCAGACAGCCACAAATCTAACCCTAAAACCCCTTTATTGCCGGTAAATCACCCTCACCTTCAAGGCTTCAACTATAATGAATATTGAATAATCCATCAATTCAACTGTCTCTACCCTAGGTTCTCCTTAGCAAACCTAGACCCTGACACATTAATATTGGAAGTTTTTTCCTGTCATATATCACCCTAAGGGAAGAAAATTATCATATCCACATGATTGCAATCCATATAACAAAACAGACCTAAGTAGACGTGACAATTCAACAAAAAAATATAAGAATATTCAAAATAATAAAGATCCCCCCAATCCGTTTCCCCAAAGAGAGAGCCTAAAGGGTATGTTTGGATGGAGGACTTTAGAGGAAAAGGGAAGGGAGGGTCCATTTTTTATTTTTAAATTTAGAGAATTATAAAAATTCTATAAAAAAAAGAAAAGAAGACGAAGATGACAAGAACTTTTGTTGTAAATATTGGTAATTATTGTACATCCCCGACCCCAACTAACTTGGGATGAATGTGTTCTTGATGTTGATGTTATTGATTTGTAATTAATGTCAATCCTTTATTTCCTTGTTTTTGAGGATTTGAGTTTATTCCCAGTTCAGCCCATTGGTCTCATTAGTCTCTCAATATATATATTGTACCCCTTTTGTACATGTTCTCTTGAGGAATAATAATATTTCAATTTTTCTCCTTTCTAGTTGATTAGAGCTCTCGATCTTGGGAGCATTTAACTTATCCGTAGCTTTTAGTCCAGATCCTCTTGCGCAGTTGTCATGCCTCCGCTGCCGGTCACCAGCCGCCACCAAAAAATTTTCCGGCAACTTTTCTAGTCAAGAAGACAATTTTTGACTCAGAACTTCCCGATCTACCATTCTATGACACTCTCTCATCCAAGAACTGCTCCACATGCTTTCACATGCACCAGAAAGCTTCAGCAGCGGTTTCTATCTCCAGCCAACCACTTTTCAAATCAACGTAGGACCTATAAAGCTCCTTTGTGATAATAAGTCGATTATTTGTATAACACACGATCATTTCCAACATGACCAGAAAAAAATATTGAGATCGACCGCCGCTTCATCAGACATAAGTTAGATAGTGGACTGATCACTACTCTATATATTCCTTACGAACGTCAATTAGCTGATGTCCTGACTAAGGGGACTTCCCACTTGTTTTTTAGGAATTTTGTTTATTCTCTCTTCGGCTCATTGGGCCCGTTAGTCTCTCTATATATATTGTACTTCTTTCTACATGTTCTCTTTAGAAATAATAATATTTCTTTCGCCTTTGAGTGTTTACATGACAATCTTTCATTTTATTCCTCTCATCTAAAAAAATAAAAAATCAAATGAGGGAAGCTTTTACTTAAAATGAAAAGCTAAACCGTCTTTCCTTCCCCTTCAAACTCCTCAAATCAAAGAGGAACCTTGCACAATAATAGCATTAACAGAAAATTAAACCAAGAGTGGAATAGTGAACAAACCTCCTGATCCTAACAAAGCTGTGGCAACACCTGACACAAATCGTACAACTTTTGGTTCAATGCGCACAAATTGGAAGTCTCCAAAGTCAACCTTCGATACGTGAAGTGTTTTGATAGTTTTTAATTATACAACAATAAACAGAAGGAAAAAAATGCAAGAGTTGCTAAGAAGAAGGATGAACAATGTTACCCAAAATGCATTGGGATGTCTTGCCAAATATGCAGCTCGAATGGCTTCTCTATCCTTTTCAGGTACCTGAATAAAATTTCAGGAACACATTTAAACTTCTACACCTTTTATATACTGATTCTGAAATATAATAACTATGTTGTCCAATACACAATAGTAAAAGAAAATGAAAAAGACAAAAAGAAACAGTGTATAACTGGGAAATGAACAGAAGATCAAAACTTACAGAGATAGCATCACCATGTAACGTGATCACTAAATCAGTCCGATCTTCAGGATCTCTAGCCACAAGCAATGAACATTTAGGATTAGCAGTTAAGTCCTGTGAAGTATAGGAAACAAGACTCTTTAGCAATGGAAGCAAGCGTTTAACTAGGTAGGTGTTGATGGTCACAAAAGGTGTTCTCATGAATTATGATTGTTAACACAACCATGTGCATGTTGAGGACATGAAAAATAGGATTTGAAATTGAATTTGCAGTCTTGTACAAGCCAAACTCGGCAGTCGGCACAATGTGCTCAATGGTTATATATAGTCAGTTCACAACTAGAAACAACTTTAATCGTTAAATTATCGTATATTCATAATTTTCTAAAAAATAAGAAAATTTTGGGGTCAAAAAAGAAAAGAAAACCTTTGTATGAACTGCCAAGTCGCTCACTGCTAGTATAGGATTTCCATTTACATCACATGCAAAATCAACCATAGACCCTGATGGATAACCCTCGAGCTTCTGCATGTTAAAAATCAAAAGAAGAACAGGTGAGAAAATGATGTTTTAGTTGTCTGCCAATGATTACTAAAAATTTCATGCGAAACACATAAACACAAAATGTAGTCAGATTTCAATTTCATTGCTCTGCCAAACATGAATTTTTATTATTATTATGTTATTTTGTTTGTCGTTGTTACTTGGGTGGGAAGGGTTTTTAAAGTCCCTCCTGGCTTTTAGTACCAAAAGAAAGTGAATATTGGGGTGTGATCAAAAGACCACAACTGAACTGTTAAGAACCTTGGGATACACCACCCCAAAAGCTAATTCAAAGGGTAGGAGTGCCCAAAACCTTATAAACTCCACATTAGTTGCACATACAACCAATGTGGGATTATATATCTCAACACGCCCCCTCACACAAGAGCCCATTAGACTTGAAGAGTGGACAATGCAACAGGCCCAACCTACTTGTGCTAAGAAACGCCACAAGAGAAAGTAGGGGGCAGCGAGGCTCTAATACCATGTTAAGAACCTTGAGGTCACCACCCCAAAAGTTAGCTCAAAGGGTGGGAGTGCCCAAGGCCTTATAAACCTCACATTAGTTGCCCATACAACCAATGTGGGACTATATTTCTCAACATGAACTTCCAAAGAGACAAAACACTCTCCCTCCATGTCTGACTTATTTGATCAAGCTCAGTATCTGTAATGCTCAAAGATGCTTTCAGCATTTTATCCAGTTAAAGTTATCCCTATTTTAAAATTAGATTTCTTATATATAAATGTATTTTTTGTCCCAGACCAGAACTGTATATTTAACTTCCAAAGACCAGGAAAGTTAATAGCTATATGCAACCACAGCATCTAAAATAAAAGGTGATTGCTATTCATTTTGAAATCAGAGAATATAGCTTAATTAAGTCTTTGATTCTCATGAATTACACTCAGCCATTATCATTAAACTTCTTACCACATTGGAAAAAAACAATCAGTTGCACAAGTGATTGAAAGGAAAGTACAGAAACCTTAGAGAATGTTGAGAGCATCCCACGTATGCTACGATCAAGGACAGTTCGAATTTCTTCAACTGGTGGAAGTCTGGCAGCTTTTTCCTATCATAACAACCATAATAAATTGAACACACAACCAATCTTCCTTGATGTACACACACGCACACTATATTTCAACTACTTTGAGGTTGATTAGTGTTAGAATATTAGATATGATTAGATATGATTAGATATGATTGTATTCAGTCTTATCCGTAAATATTCTAATTGTATTAGGATTGCATTAGGTTTGGGCCTTTCACTTAAGCCCATTAGGGTCTCTATATATTGTAACTCTCTGACACAGATCAATACATAACATATTATTTTACATTCAATTTGGTACCAGAGCTATTTCGTTCTGGGAACCCTCGCTTCTGCTTAGAAATCTTGTTCTTCGCTTTAAAACCTAAGCCCACTGTTTAGGAGTCATCTTTTCTTTGTCGTGCGTCCTTTCGGCAAGCCATCAAGGACTGTAAGTCCTCTCCAGGCATCTTCTGCACGTGTCCACATCCCCAAACAGTCACCGGAGCCACCATCAGCCACCGTCAGCCACTGTTCAGGCCGCCGGAGCACTTTTCCGGCGAGATTTCAGCCCGGACCAAACGCGAACAGCATCCTCTCATCCCGGCGACCTGCTCTGTGGAAGTCCGGCCACCATCGGAGTTGTCACGCGCTCTCACGCGCTTCTAGTCTTCTCTGCGCGTGGGCTTCACGCGCCACCTTCTGCCGGCGCGTGAGCACTATTCCGGCGGCTTTTTCCGGCCGATCTTGGACAGAGAAGCTCGTCTTCTCCTCCTCTTTCTGGATCTGTGGTTAGTTCTTTGTGGGTCTGACTTTTTGTGCGCACCTCTTCTTGATTGGTGATTAGGTTCGTTTCTCTTTATTCGGTTTATATCTTTGTGATTTAATACTATGGCAGCAAACTCTCCTATTCATTCGGAGGTCAATTCTCCATCTCCTCCTGTGAGAAATTCTTCCAATATCATCTCTACCAATACTGGGTCCATTACCTCTTCAAAATTGAAGGGATCTGTTAATTACAAGAACTGGGCCACCTCTGTTCGAGTTTGGTTCTTTGGACAAGGATATGGGAACCATCTCACGACTAAGTCTACTGATGTCCCTAAGGAGGACAAGTCTGATTGGGAAAAGATTGACAACCAACTTCTGAGTATCCTCTGGCAATCCATTGATCCGATCGTCTTGGATATCTTTTATTCATTTCAAACTTGCACTGAAGTGTGGGAGGAAGCAAAAAACCTCTACACTAATCATGTTCAGCAGCTCTATTTCATCATCTCTCAGTTTATGGAATTGAGCAAATCATCCGACATTCAGATGGAGACATATATTGGCAAGAGTCGCTCTTTGATGCAGGCATATTTGGATATTCTGCCTTACCCTACTGATGCTACTACATATCGGAAACAGGTGGAACGTCTCTTTATGGTTGCCACCCTTTCTGGCCTTCCCGAAGAATATGATAATGTCCGTGATACTATCTTGACTAGTGGGGAGCCTGATCTATCCATGACGTATCAGCGTCTTCTGAATTTGAATAAGAAATATGCTCCTGCATCGTCTTCTGCTGTTGATTCTACTGCTCTAGTTTCCCGTACTGATTTTCGCGGGAATATTGGAGGTGGACGTGGTCGTGGTAGAGGCCCAGGAGGCCGTGGCCTAGGAGGTCCAGTCGGACGTGGTCAGCGACCTCGTTGTCATTACTGTCAGCAACTTGGTCATTATGAGGAACGCTGCTACACAAAGTATCCTCACATGCGACCTTCTTTTGCTGCTAATATAGCTCAATCGGATACTGCTTCAAATGGTACAGTCTCTCTCTCCTCTGAAGAATATGCAGCATTCCAGGCCCTTCTCAGGAAGTCCTCTCCTCAATCTCAGGCCTCTGCTTCAGAAACTGTTAATCCTGTTGCTTGTGTTTCTCATTCTGCATCACATGGTCCTTGGATATTTGACTCAGGTGCTACTGATCACCTCTGTGGTAATAAGGAACTCTTTTCTTCCCTTACATATTCTGATAATTTACCCTCTTTTACTCTTGCTGATGGAACTAAGGCCCCCGTTCATGGGATTGGACAAATCTGTCCAACCTCCTCATTGACCTTGACATCTGTCTATTACATCCCTCACATCCCTTATAATTTAATATCTGTTAGTAAATTGATCAATTCTCTTAATTGTATTGTCACATTCTCAAACCATTTTGTTTCTGTGCAGGACCCGGGTACGGGGAAGATGATTGGAGTGGGCCGTGAGTCACGGGGTTTGTTCTACCTTGATGTGCTGAGTCCTTCAGTTGCTTGTTCTCTCACAGAATCTCCACAACTCATCCACAGTCGTCTCGGGCATCCTAGTCTTGCGAAATTGCAGAAGATGGTTCCTCTTTTATCCGGTCTTCAAACTTTAGATTGTCAGTCATGTTAGCAAGGAAAGCACATACGCTCCTCCTTTGTTAATCGAGTCAATAAACGAGCTGATGCTCCTTTTTCAATTATTCATTCAGATGTTTGGGGTCCTAGTCGTAGTGTGTCTATTTTAGGTTTTGCGGTATTTTGTTACCTTTATTGATGATTTCTCCCGTTGTACTTGGATTTATTTAATGAAAAACCGTTCTGAGTTGTTTTCTATTTATCAAAAGTCTTCTGCTGAAATTCATACTCAATTTGGTGCTTCTATTCGTATTTTACGTAGTGATAATGCTGAGGAATATGTTTCTGTTGACTTTTCTTATTTCTTAGCCACACAGGGTACTTTACACCAAACCACTTGTCCTCACACTCCATAACAAAATGGAGTAGCTGAACGTAAGAATAGACATCTCATTGAGATTGCCAGGACTCTTCTTATTCACATGCATGTTCCTCTTCACTTCTAGGCTGATGCAGTCCTTGCTTCTTGCTTTCTCATCAACCGCATGCCTTCATCTGTGCTTAATAATAATATTCCTCGTAACTTATTGTTTCCAGATGTTCCTCTCTTTCCTCTATCCCCGCATGTTTTTGGTTGTACCTGTTTTGTTCATGATCTCACTCCTGGTAAGGATAAGTTAACATCCAAAGCCTTTAAATGCATTTTTCTTGGTTATTCTCGTCTTCAAAAGGGTTATCGTTGTTACTCTCCTGATCTCAAGCGTTACTTAGTTTCCGCTGATGTCACCTTTCTTGATCAACAACCCTTTAATTCTATCCCATCTCCATTGTCACAGGTTGATCATGTTCTTCCTGTTCCTTTTCTTGACTTGTCTTTGCCAGATGCAGGTGCTTCTACTCCAGATAAGCAATCACCTATTGCTCCAGTACCTGAGGACCGTCCACTTCTCACTTATCAGCTTCGTAAGACAGTACCTCCAGTCGACTCGACCCCTGCTGACTCATTACCCCCTGCAGTTGATTCTTCCCCTACGGATCCTTCACCAGAGGCTCTTCCCATTGCTCAAAGAAAAGGTACACGTACTACTCGTAACCCTTATCCTCTTTATACCTTCTTGAACTATGATCGCCTTTCTCCTCCTCATTTCACCTTTGTTTCTAGTCTTTCTTCTGTTTCTATTCCTAAGACCACAGGTGAAGCACTTTCCTATCCAGGATGGCGCCAAGCAATGCTTGATGAGATGACCGCACTTCATACCAATGGCACTTGAGACCTTGTTTCTGCTCCTCCAGAGAAGTCTATAGTTAGTTGTCGCTGGGTGTTTACTGTGAAAGTTGGACCTGATGACCATGTTGATCGTCTTAAGGCACGCCTAGTTGCCAAGGGTTTTACTCAAATCTTTGGCCTTGATTATAGCGATACATTCTCTCCAGTCGCTAAGATGGCGTCCGTCCGCCTATTTCTTGCCCTTGCTGTTGTTCGTCACTGGCCACTCCTTCAACTTGACATCAAAAATGCCTTTCTTCATGGTGATTTACAAGAAGAAGTTTACATGGAGCAACCACCTGGTTTTGTTGCTCAGGGGGAGTCTGGGAAGGTATGTCGTCTTCGAAAATCCTTATACGGTCTCAAGCAGTCTCCTCGAGCATGGTTCAGTCGCTTCAGTTCTGCTGTACAGGCGTTTGGCCTAATTCGCAATAAAGTTGACCATTCTGTATTCTATAGGATTACATCTCCTAACAAGTGCATCTATTTGTTAGTCTATGTTGATGACATCATCCTCATTGGAAGTGATCAAGACGGAATCCGTCAGTTAAAACAACATTTATTCAGTGCATTTCAAACAAAGGACCTTGGGAAGCTGCGTTACTTCTTGGGAATTGAGGTGGCGCAATCTAGACAGGGCATTTCTATCTGTCAAAGGAAGTATGCCTTGGATATCCTAGAAGAGACTGGTATGTTGGGGTGTAAACCAGTTGATACACCCATGGATCCTAATGTTAAGTTATTGCCCAGACAGGGGGAGCCGTTATCTGATCCTGGACGTTATCGAAGGCTGATTGGGTAGCTCAATTATCTTACTGTGACTAGGCCAGATATTTCTTTCGCTGTTAGTACGGCTAGTCAGTTCCTTGATTCCCCTTGTGATTCTCATTGGGATGCTGCTGTGAGGATCCTCCGATACATCAAAGGAGCACCAGGAAAATGTTTGTTGTATTCGGATCAGGGAAATACAGAAATTTGTGGTTACTCAGATGCCGATTGGGCAGGATCACCCTCGGACAAACGCTCTACTTCTGGTTATTGTGTCTTCTTCGGAGGAAACTTGATCTCATGGAAAAGCAAGAAACAACCTGTTGTTTCCCGATCTAGTGCAGAAGCTGAGTATCGTGCAATGGCAAATACTACCTGTGAGTTGATCTGGTTAAAGCAGTTGATTCAGGAGCTTCATCTTTGTGAACAGAAACAACCCATGACACTCATCTGTGATAATCAAGCTGCGCTACATATATCCTCTAATCCTGTTTTTCATGAGAGGACCAAACATATAGAGATTGATTGTCACTTCATTCGGGAAAAAGATTCAGTCAGGAGAAATCAAGACAGCTTTTGTCAACTCGTCTAATCAACTAGCAGATGTTTTCACTAAAGCTCTTAGAGATCCTCGGGTTGAATACATTTGTAACAAGCTTGGTGCTCATAATATATACGCACCAGCTTGAGGGGGAGTGTTAGAATATTAGATATGATTGGATTCAGTCTTATCCGTAAATATTCTGATTGTATTAGGATTGCATTAGGTTTGAGCCTTTCACTTCCCATTAGAGTCTCTATATATTGTAACTCTCCACAGATCAATAGACAACATATTATTTTACATTCAATTATTAGTAGCATATTGATTTGATAACTGATAAAATACCTGATGTGCTTGAATCAATTGAAAGACATCTTCTTTTTTTATGTTAACATCACCAGGAGACACAGTCTGATTCAGAAATCAGAAATAACATAATATTACTCCATGAGTTATGATCATCATTGAAAGAACAAGACTTAAAATTATTAAGCAGTTCAGAATTTCGATCAGCCAATAAAACACACAAGAAAACAAGTAAAACTAAAAAGAAAAAAATGAAAGAAAAAGAAGAAGAAGAAGATTCCAGTCATTTTATGCAAGTTCGGATTTTGAAGCGACCAAGGTAATTAGTGTTCAATTGGGTCGAAGAAAATATGGAAAAGAAAGAGAAAAGTGAAGAAATTGAGGTACCGGAGCTGTGGATTGGGATGAAGCGGCCATGGAAACAGTGAGAGAGGGAAATGGGAGGAAGGTGAAGGAATTTGGCAAAGAAGAGTGACGTGTGAGAGAGAAGGGAAGGGCTTTCTGGTCATTTGGGCGAAAAATTGGGGAGACCCTTGTCAATGGCGTCACCAAAGTCTTCATCTTTGGGTTGAGCTCTTAACAATAACAACAACTGCACCAAATTCTCTCTTTCTTATAAGTTTTGGTTTTCTCTGAATTTTGATTTTTAATTTTTTACATGTTTGTGCTACTTTTTCTTTGGTTTTGTGGTGCATTCCTGTCCTTAGGATAATAAAATGAAGGGAATAAAGTTTAGTCAATGAGATAATACTTTTTCACGTCTTTTTCTTTCTTTTTTTTTTTTTTTATACAGTGTCAATGCAACTTACAAATTTTTATGTATATATAAGAGATAATTTTATTTCTTATAAGATGAGAAACAATAATCCCTAAAATGAAATACAAGTTAAGTCTAAAGATAAAACCATTAAAACTTATTTTAAGATAATTATTATTTTTATTTAAAAATTTTATTTTGTAATGTTAAAGAAAATGATTATTTTATTTTTAAATTAACTAATTGGACCACGTACTTATTATCAAATATTGAACCACGTGCTTCAATTGGTCGCATATTGATTTTGTAATTTTATTAAAATATAAATTCGGATTAACTTGTTTTGCGTTTAAAGGATTAAATCTTTTTTGAAAAACATTAAAAAAACAATCCTTACCGAACATACTTTAAATCTTTTGTTAAAGTTGATATTACCCTCTTAAAATGAGAAAAATTTCTCTTAATTTTAAACATTTTTATTCGAAAAAATAAACACAATTCTATTAGGGATCCGATATCTATTGTTACACTTGAAGTGGAGCAAGTGATAACAATAACGCGAACGGAGTAAAAATATATTTGACAATCAGTATATAATTTGGCGCATTTAGGAACATTAGATATCGGATCCCTAAAAGCTAAATTAAAGAAAGAAAGAAAAAAAAGAAGAAGTTAAATAATAATTTCAACTTAAAATTATTCAAGCTTCACTCTTCTTTCACGCATGGGCGAAAACAGGTTTTTGGTCATACAAATAAATGATGCAATTATATCATAAAATGAAATATAAGAAAAACGCATGCTTTGTCCCGATATTTTTATTGCTAAGTTTTTTGACAAAGTATTTAATAATGCTCGTCAATTCTTGAACGAATGAAAATGAGCAACTCTTTCAAGTTTTTGCCCCATTCAACAACTACCATTAGCTTTAGTTAAATTTTGTCATGTGACACAGGCAACAAGATTCAAACTTTATACGCTACCTTCCCTAATCCCTAGTCCCTACCCTACACTACCCAAGTAACATTATTTATGGGTTCCCTAATTCATATCTATATTTTTTTATCTCTGTGTACTGGAATGAATAATTGGGCCTCTTTAAGATAAAGAATAATATGGCAAAGTCATCAACTTGTCAAAAAATAAGTCAATTCACCCTACTCAGACTTTTGAAAATAGGCTCAAAGACCCACCTCGTCCTGTTAGATGGGTTGACCCATCAACTTGAGCTTATTTTACACTCGACCAGTCTATGCTCGTCATCAATCCGTCAAAAAACAAGTTGATAGGCGAGTTCATTTTGCTGTTTTACTCTTAGAAATAAATAAAAGGTATTATTTTTCTAGTAAATGAGAAATCCTTCCATGCACACAAAAAATGTCCTACTCACAAAATGTGGATCCAGAGAATTTCTCTCTTAAATAACATGAAAAAAATAATACTCATAAATAAATAAAAAATTAATTAAACCCAGAACCAGAGCAGAGTCAAACAGAATTTCACCTTGCTTCCATCGCCAAATTACCAAATTATATGATAGATTATTTATGATGGAGGCAGAAAGAGTGTCAAATGTATTTAAATAAAAAAACTCAGGAAAAGACATAAAACACAAACATTATTCGACAATCAAAAAAGTGAAAAAAATAATAATATACAAGAACGATTAATGATTCACCAAAGAGATAAGAATCAATCGGAGTGTGGAGGAGGAGGATGATGATAGCCAAGGTAGGAGGAGAGAGAAAGGAGGATGCGTTGGAGAGGGAGACAGAAGAGGAGGCGCAAAACGGTGTCGCTGTTCAACCTCTCAGGGTTGCACGCTATGTACTGACAAAGGTTCGCTGACACGTGCGCCACCCTCACCACCACGCTGCTATTCAGCACCATCCTTGATCTAATCAAAAATCAAACTACTTGGTACCTTTTTTTTTTTTCCTTCTTCTTCACCTCGTACTTAATCCTTGATGTGCTTGTCTTGTGTTCCTTCCTTCTAGTCTTCTAGATGCGTGTTTGTTTGGGTGATCTAAGTCAAACTCTATTTTCAGATTGGGCCGCGTTTGTTGGACATTTCAAACCATAAAATGGAAAATTATGCCCCTTTGCTTACTTTAGACTTGGACTTTCATTTATGCTTTCTTTTTTATTTTATTTTATTTTTTTGAAAAATTCACTGATGTGTGATTTAATCCATAATTACTTATATTCTTTTAATTTTTTTTATCATATATGCTCCTGTGGTTTATAAAAGGGTATATTTTTTTTTATCACATATACCCTTGTGATTTTTTACTTTTTACAAACTACAGGGATATATGTAATAAAAAAAATCACAGGAACATAGATGATTCCAAAGTAAATCACAAGAACATTGGTTAACTTTTTCGTTTTTTTTTTTTTTTGGTAAGCTCATTTATGCTTTTTTTAATTAAACAATTTTTTTGATTCTATGTTCACTTTCTCTTTATTTATTTTTTATAATATACTAAATATATAACAAAGCTCATATATCATGTCCTAATCTACTAAACATTACCTTTATCCGGTTCTTAAGGAGTTTAATTGTATTTCATTTCTTCATTTATATTTCTATCCATAGGTCTTTATATACATAAAAAAAGAAGAAATTATTTACATAGTTTAACGAGAAGGAGAGGGATTCAAAAAATTAACTGCTTTATTTTTTATTCACTGTTTTTAGCCTCAAGATGAGCCTTCAATAAAATGTTCAGCAAGGGATTGAAGTAAATTTTGATATACCACCCAAAAGCTGTACAAAGTACAAACTACTTGCCATACCAACTCCCACCCTTGGTTTTTCATTGTCAAGTAAATCAGATTGTGATAACCAAACAAACAATATGTACATTCACAACAGTAAATACATAATTTATCCCTCAAAGGTAAACCTTGAGTGCATTTAGTCCTTTTAAGTTTGTTTGTGTATAAAATATGGGTTCGTTTTTTCTGCCGTAAATGCAGATAAGTTATCTGCATTAAGCTTAAAATAACATCGTTTTAAGATGAAAATCAAGGTGTTTTTATAATTTTAATTTTTTTTAGAGTTATAATAGTCTTTATAATTATAATTTTTTAATATTTCAATACTAAAACAACGTCATTTTGAGAGTAAATACAGATAACTTATCTGCAGTAACTGCAAAAACATTTTTCTGATAAAATATTCTTTATATTTTTATAAATACTAATAAGTTAGTATTTTGGTCAACTTATATTTAAAAGTGATTAATGTTTATCTTTTTAAAGAACATAAAATTAGGTCATTTTAATTAAAATTATTGTGTTTTATGGTGAGAAAAATAGAAATCATGGTAAAAGAAAATGAGAGATTTAATTTAAATATTAAATAAATAATAATCATTTTAACTAAAATAACCGTCCTTTAAAAGGATAAACATTTTTTTTCTATTTAAAAACTCTAATAAAAGTGCACACATGGACTGTTAGTACTTACTCTCTCTCTTTTTTGTAATTAGTTAGTACTTACTTTATACATAGCCAGATTATTTCTCCCCCTTGTACCAAAAAAAATTTATTTCTCCCCCGAGATTGTGTATATACTATATACTACTCTCTATTCACAAAGAACCAAGCTACGTGGCGATTTTAACTTCAATTAGAAGAAACATTATAGTTAGAGAACACTGACATTACAAATGATCATCTAATAGATAATAACTATCAAATCCCTAACATTCAAGAAATCCTTTCTCCTCCAAGTAACAAACTACTTGTCCAGCCATTATACTTGGTGTTGGACAAACTCCAACTTCCTGCTTTATTTCTATCTGCAAAGTGCAAAGGAGAGGAGGAACGTGTAAAAATAAATACATGTACCTAACACATCAGACACAAGTGTAAAAAGTTTTAGTAGCTCCATGAACACATACCTCACAATTTATGGGTGGTTCATAAGGATCATCAATGCCAGTAAAACCTAAGGAATTTCAGTGTTGGTTCAAAAAAGACTAGATGGTAGATTTCAAAATCTGAAAGCAGTTTCGGCAATTAGAATTTTAGTGATTCTGAATTTCTGATCAATGTTTTTGAAATGTTTGAATTTAAAGAATAATGATCAAACATGCACAAGATAGTCCAAGAAAGAATGCTTCACTTTTCAAGCTAAGATGCAATGCAAACCCTGAACTCTGTCAACAATATATATTATGAAATTTTCTAGTTCAAATTAAAGCACTCTATGTTCATCCCAAATAAGTGAATGACTTCATATGTCCTTATCAGAACAATTAAATATGAAATCCTGTTTGAGCATCAGTCTAATTATAGCTAAATCATCAGTAATTGTTTTTTAAGCATTAATGCAAGCAATTATAAAGCTGCCTAGCCAAACTACCCTTACTGAATTATACTTGGGTCAGCAGTCAAATATGATTAACCTAAAAGACTCAACCACAAAGATCTATGAACCAAACTAACTATTGACTCAAAAGTCATGCATAGGTACAAGAAAAAAGCACATGCTTAAATGCTTCCTTGGAATAAATTATTGTATTGCATTCAACCCTACCCTAGTGAACAATGCACGCAGAATGAACTTAATTTTGGGATTCCTTCATTTTATTTTTTTTATTCTTTTTACGTCTCAATTTCGGTTTCCTTATTTTAGAGGGGCGGGGGAAAGCCTCTGCAGGTAAAACAACATTGCAAAAGCACACCTTTGATCTTTCCAGCACGAGCAAGCTTATAGAGGCCTTTTGGATCCCGTGACTCGCACAATTCTAGTGGCATGTTCATGAAGACCTGTAATTACAATTCCACTATCAAATATCATGCAGACCAACTTATACAAATGATAAGAAATGCCTAACAGAAGCTTGCCTCTATAAAATTTGCATCAGGCAACATAGCACGGCAACTGTCCCGATCTCTTCTATAAGGAGATATCAGACTCGCGACACATATTAGACCAGCATCAGCAAAGAGTTTTGCCACTTCTCCTGAAGTAGTAAATTTTCTGATCAGTAAAAACAAGTTGGAAAACATATACACATCAGACTATTGAATACAGACCAGCTAGCCTTATAACTGTAACAACCAAAGTACTATTGACTCAGCAAATGCATGTACAGAACTATTTCAACCATGTGTCGATCAGATTTATGTAGCACGTCAACACCACAATTTTACACAAATATCTGTGCTGGAGCTGGACTTGGTAATATGCTTCTAGTTTAACATGAATAACTATATGTGCTTCCTTTTTGTAAATACCTTCTGTATTACTGAAACATCTACTTAAGTTAAATCTGACCCACTGGATATTTATTGCCATATTTCAACTTCCGAAAAACAGTGTGCACCAAAAAAGCCATGATAAAGCGGTACATCACATCACATAGGACCTTCCATCCTTTTGATTCAATCATTCAACTGTACAGTTTTTAATAGCAAAATTACATGGACAGCTATTAATTGGTTGTTCCAAGGGATAACAAGAAATTTGATATTTATCATGCCAGTCTAGACTGCTCATATTACTTTAATATCTACCCTTGACATATAACCAAATAATTAACATGTTAAAAATGACTATCAAGTTCCTGTTACTCCATTTCCTTAAAGAACTAGTTTACAGGAGAAAGCTTACCAGTTCTGCGGATATTTTCAGTGCGGTCTTCAGGTTTAAAACCAAGATCCTTGTTTAGTCCATGCCGAAGGTTATCTCCATCAAGGACGTAAGATAACTTTCCCCTCGAGTGTAGTTCTCTGCTTAAAGAACATGCCAATGTGCTTTTTCCTGAACAGTTTGAGAATAAAATCAACATGGCATGTTGCAAGCTCATTACACGTACACTCACTCAAAGGAATTTTGAAGACTACGCATTATTCACTGGTATCCTACATTCCGATAATTCAGGAGTGACTCACAAAAGAAAAACAAAGAATGCAGCATGTCGTAACTGCAATGCGAAAGGTATAAGATAGAACAAACTTGTTAGAGTATTATGTATATAATACTGCTATATACTACTGTTGTATACTGTATATACAGCTACTGTTAGTAAAGGTGTCTTTTAGCTGTTAGTCAGTAAGACTTGCTGAGACAGATAGTTAGTTATAGATAGGTAGTTATCAGTTAAATCTATAAAAGCCTGCACTGTAACACACTGAACTGTTTTTTTTTTCATTTTGCATCAGTAACAGAACATCGACAGACAAGGTCTCTGAACTTTCTCTCTACTCTTTCTTTCTCTTTCCATCACTTTGTATTAAAGTGTAAAATCTTGGGAAGAATTTGGGCCCTATGGTCACCTTTCTCTATATAATAATTAACAAGTAAAATCAAACACATAAAATGAATGGACCAAAGCTACGATATGCAGTAGAACATCTGCGTGTTGTAGTCATCTAAATCAGTGCGGAGAAGAATCAATATAGTGAAAAAAAACCTTGTATTTCAAGTTTCCTCCACTCTTTCAAGTTTCTCTATAAATTTCCTGGTCAAATATATGTTCTCAATTTGCTTCTTCCATAAGTTTTCAGAAAATATAGCACAAGCATTGAAAACCTAATTTAATGAATTTGTATCTATAGTCTGCATAATGTTAAAACTTGTCAAATAATGTATAACTTCTATATTATACCGTCAGTGACAGGGATAAATTGTCCATCAATGTTGTCTGTTCTTAGAAATGTATAAATATTTTGATTGGACTCGACTGGATTGGACTGGACCATCCCAGCTGGTTGAACTAATAAATAAGTGACTAGAGTAAGGAGACAATTTGTTTTATGTTGTGAAGAGTGGCAGAGTTGATTTAAATGGGCAGAAGTTTAAAAAAAAAACTACTATAATCTGCTTCAAATAGAACAGATGCAGGGATTAAGAGTTTTTCTCGTTTGTTTATTTCATGTTTTCATTAACAATAAGAACCCAATGCAGAGTTGAAAACATGTTTGCTAAGTTAAACGGGACGTGACAGACAATACTTATTTGTTGATCAAGCCAAGTTAAAGGGGAATCTTAAATACAGGGAGCAACTAAAACATAATGAAAAACACATGCATCACAAACAGCAAGAACATGATACTGCTTTCCATGTCAAAAATATTTAAAGAAAATCCAGAACCAATGTTGAAAAAACATGAACAATAAGCCAGTAAGACTAACAATATGAACCTGATCCGCTGAGCCCAGTAATCCATACAACGCATCCCTTTTGGTTAAGTAGCTTCTGCCTGTCAGGCTTTCCTACTTGACATTCTTGCCAAAATATATTTGTTGAGTTGCTCACGGTTGACATTGCAAACAATTCCCCTAGTCTTCTCTATGGATCAATATTAAGCTATTAATTTCATTTCATGGATAACTGCAGAATCAAAACATAAGAAGAGAGGATCTTAGAATATAAGACCACAATAGTTATACAACTACACAAGATACTTGGTAAGTGCTTCATCAGGGCAAGCATTGCAGCACGACCAAGTACACCAATTTCAGATAGTGGACTTGTGATATCATCACATCCACTTTTTTATGTCAATAAAGAAATATGACCTGTTTGACATTAACAGCGTCTACATACAATGTACTTGTTAAAGCTTTCCATAAAGATAGGATGAGATCTTATAGGGATAAAAAGGAAAGGAAAATATTGGACATAAAAATATGTTGCAAAATCCACACTCAAGTTTCAAAATGTCTCTTCCTAGACAAGATTTGTAGCAATAACTTGCTGGAGCACTTTTAATTTCTTACACACACACAATTCATGCCAATTCTGCAAGCAACAAACTTGATGATTAACTTGATGGTAAAATCACTGATGGATGAGACCCAACACCAATAGTCCCCTCAACAGCCTTTACATTTTTTTTATATAGAAAAGAAAAAATTTATGTCATTTTGTTGGCATGCCCACATAGTCTAATTGAATTCCATGTCATTTTGAAGTTTTAAAAGACCCATATCTCCAAAGGCATTTTCAATTTAGTGCTCATCTATCTGCCCTTTCACCTGAAATCTGATGATCCCATTCCCATCCCTTCACAGGTAAAATTTATGTCTTTTCTCTCTAGTGAGATCAAAATGTCAACTTTTTTTGTGGGAGAGAGAGAGAGAGAGAGATGATCCAAATCATTTGATCAGACATATAACCACTACCCAATATGCAAAAAGGAGATTTTGAAAGTGAAAAGGAAAAAAAAGGAAAGAGAATGAGAGAGAGTACCAGTAAGAAAGTAGGGAGAGGGAATTGTGTGTCTCAATCACAATGGTATGGTATGATATGATATGAGGTTATCTTATTCTATTTTAATGAGCAAAAGAGAGAGAGAGAGAGAGAGAGAGAGAGAGAGAGAGGATGAAAGAGAGGGTGGTGGTGTGGTGTGTGTTATGCCATGTGATTTAAATGGCGAAGGAGAAGGAGAAGGAGAAGGTTTTGAGAATGATGTTATTTTCGTGTGTGTGTGTCCTTGTTGACTGTTGCTGTCTGTTGGCTATGGTTCGAGAAAAACAATGAATGAAATGAATCTGGACACTCCCTCGTTCCCTTCCCTCAATTGCTCCTTTCCCTCCGTTCTCACGAAGGACACGCTTAACTCTCTCTGCTGCATTAAAAGCCATGTGGCACACACACGGACCTACCCTGTTCGTTTTTCTGATTGCATGTTCCATCCATGTCTTTTACATATATATTTTTCATTTAAACAAAAAAAATAAATTATTTGATGATTATTAAAATTAAAAAGAATCAAAATTGCATTGTAATTTCAATTCACTAAATAATCTAAAGATAAACACACTCTTATTTACTAAATCTAGAGAGAAGCTCACTTTAAAAGAATTCTGGTGGATAATTTATTCCTAAATGTTATGCTAAAAATCATCATTGAATAAAGTCACATGCATCATATTGAATCATCAAAGAACATAAAATAAATAAAACATGGAATTAATATTTAGAAGATAAAATTATTTTCTATAAATACATAAAAATATATAAAATTCATGTTTTCTTTTTTTTTTCTTTTTTTTTTTCTTTTTACATGACTTGCTCACTTTAAATATATGTAAAAGATAATTTTTACTCTTATAATTGAAAAATAGTAATCCCATAAAACATTCCTGTCTCTGTAGAAAAATGATTTATCTTTGAACGTAACTTGTACTTTAGCCTTTTCTTAATAGCTTCGATCTTTCTCAGTCAAACCCTTATTTTCTTAGTGGGTATTTTTTTTTCTCCAGAAAAGAAGAAAGAAGCTGATGATTTGATACATTGGGACAATAACCCTAATTCTTAATTTATTTATATATTGTTGCGTTAGACATTCATTATATCTAGTTGGGCGAATATTAGTTATTCTCTCATTTACTCCATACCACATTAGGAAATTGACTAGGCTACTTTAATTTGATCACTTAATTTATCTAATAATTAAATAACGTAATTAATAATTAAGCATGTATCCCACAATTATTAGAAAATAAAATTTCTTAAGGGACGTTTGGTTGAGGAGAAATTTTTATAAATCATAGGAAAATATGATTAGTAGGAAAATGGTTGGGAATTGAGTTTGGTAGGAAAATGTAAAAAAAGTAGTTTGGTAGGAAAATGTAAAAAAAGTAGTTTGGTAGGAAAAAAATTTACTGAAAAAATTAGGTAACTTTTGTAAAGTCTATGTTTGACTTTTGGCAAAATATAGATGGAAAAAAATGTGCTTTTACGAAAATAACTTTGTTTTTAAAAAATGCCCCCTAAGCCTTGCTACCCTTTACCCGTAAAGAGGGTTATCATTTCAATGAATGGCCTTTTCTTCCTTCAATTTATGAATACAAGTTTGAAGAAAATGAGAAGCTCAGTTCACAGGACAAGCTACCAGCATAATCGCAAGCTTAAAAAACTCCCCACACGACCTACTAACTCAATGTTATTTTGTTAGCACGGTGAATGAGCATTTGTCAATCCTAATCCATCAATAATGATGAACTCGGAACACAAAACAAAAACTGGTACAATATCTAGAAGCACTACAGAAAAGAGTTACTGAGAGTTTAATCCTCATCCTCTTCATCTCCATCACCACCAGCAGCTTTCTGGTTCTTTCTCTTCACCCTTCCAGAGGGCACGCTCGTCTTTTGTTTAGTTGACAATGTGAGCAAATAGCTACATAACGAACAATACCACGTGTGAGAAGGGAATTTTTGGCCGGGTATATCACTACAAATAGATATGCAAATTGCTTTGGTAGCATTTTGATTTAGGTAGGTAAATGAAGAATCTCCTTCAACCAAACATGGTCACCACCAAATCCCACTTCTAATTTGCCTATCAATCTACTCAAAATCCTTCAACCAAACACACCCTTAACAAATTCCTCTACATATATATCTTATATGTAGATTATCTTTTTTCCTTTATCCTCAAATATTGATTCCATGTGGTTTTACAAAGACTTAAGGGGTGTATTATATTGAGATTTCAAAGAATTTTAATAGAATATTTTTGGACAAAAAACTCTATTAGTATTCAATTAGAATTTTAAAAGATTGAAAAAAATTACACGGTATTCAATTAGGATTTTAAAAGATTATTTTAGGGTTCATCCAAATCCATTAGTATTCGATCAGGATTTCAAACAAAGGAAAAATAAACTTCTGATATTTATAAATTTGACAATTTTAATGGATTTTCTATTGGTGTGAATTTCATGAGACTTTTTAGTGATAAATATAAATAAGATGTCTCTCTCATAATCTCATCTTAACACCTAAGATTTCTTGAGTTTTCTCTATTGCAATGTTTTCTTCTTCCTTTGGTGGGTTGACCCACTCGAAACCGAGTTCCGTCATGGGCGCTTCGTTAAAGCTCAAAAATAGCAGATTTTTGAGAAATTTTATCACAAAACAATCTATAAAACACAAATCAACAAAATTCTAATATAATCCATCTAAAAAATAGCAGATTTTTGAGCGATTATTTAGAGTTTTTGGAAGTTTAAAAAATAATTTTTCAAGCTATGGGTCGCGATTTCTCTTCGCACAAAAATGCGAGTTTTGTATTAAAAATGGGTTCGCTTTTTCTGCAGTTACTGCAGTCTGCAGATAAGTTATCTGCAGTAAGCCCAATACGATGTCGTTTTGGGGCGAAAATCATGGTATTTTTGTAATTTTAATTTATTTCAGGGTTATTATAGTCTTTATATTATAATTTTCTAATCTTTCAATCTCAAAACGACATCGTTTTGGAAGTAAATGCAGATAACTTATCTGCATTAACTGCAGAAATATTTTTCTGATTAAAAATAACATAAAACAGTGAGTAAACCACAGGGGAACTAAAAAACTGAAATCAATTTTTGTTTTGCATCAATGAAACAATATCAATTTAAAGAAAGATTGAAACTTTCATAATATGAACCCTATATTTTATAATACTACATTCATGAACGAAATTCTTTCGTTATAGGAAACAATTTTAAACAATTTTTGTATCAATAAATAACTAAAAACTCGATTTTCAAAAGCCCCAAAGCAAATTAAGATTTTAATATATCGATTGAAAATAATTTGAAATTTTTTCTAAATTTTCATGTAATAAAACCCAAAAATTCAGATTCGAAATTTTCTTAGAATACTCAATAAAAATATACATATGATAGATGGTTAGAAAACTATCATCACCTAGAACAAAAATCCCAAAGTTTCCAAGATCAATTGCAAAAAATTTCAAACGAAATTTTATCATGAACATTAGGTTCTATATGCAAATTTAGAATTATTTAATAAATAAAAAAATGGGTCTTATGATCATATATATGCATAGCTCTGATACCAAATGAAGAAGATAATTTTCAACCCATTAGTCAAACCCAAGAGCAGGTACTAATGCATGGAGAATTAATATAGCTTTAGATATATGGAGAGCTGTTACTCAGTAATGTTTGTTAAAAATTATATTATGTTTTACTGATTGAGAAAATTATATTAGGTTTTACTTTTCTTTTATTTATGTCATTGCATTTCTTTGTTTTTTTATTGACTCTTGTAATTTTGAATGTTTGTTAAAAATTCATATGATTTTTTAAAATCTTATAAATTTATATTGTTCTTTTAAATCTTATAAATTCTATTAAAGTCCTTTAAATCCAATATTATGAAATCTTGATTGTAAAAAATTTCTTTAAAGTCCTTTCAATTTTAAATAGTCTTTTAAAATATATAAGATTTTTTTATCTCAAAAAGTCTTTCAGGGGGTATTAGATTGGAATTTCAAATTATTTTAATGGATTTTTTTTTGACAATAAAATCCATTGGTATTCAATTAAGATTTTAAATGATTGAAAAAAAGTCACGTGATATTCGATTAGGATTTTAAAAGATTATTTTAGAGGCCATCCAAATCCGTTGGTATTCAATCAAAGTTTTAAATAAAGGAAAAACAATATTGTGGTATTCAAAAATCTGACGATTTCAATGGATTTTCTATTTGTGTGGATTTTGTGAGATTTTTTTGTGAGAAATATAAATCGGATGTCTCTCTCACAATCTCACTCTTGGATTTGTTGAGATTTCTCTATTGCAGTGTCTTCTTCTTCCTTTGGCGGGTTGATCCGCTTGAAATCGGGTTCTGCCATGGGAGCGTAGTCAAAGCTCAAAAATAGCAGATTTTTAGCGATTTTTATCATAAAACAACCCAGAAACAACAAACCAACAAGATTATAATATAATCCATATAAAAAACAAAGATTTTTTAGAGCTTTTGGAAGTTTAAAAAATAATTTTTCAAGTTATGGGTCACAATTTTTCTTGGCACAAAAAGGTGTAGTTTTTGTGTTAAAAACAACATAAAACAGTGGGAAAATAACAGGGGAACTAAAACCCTCAAACCAATTTTCGTTTTATATCAATGAAACAATATCAATTTAAAGAAATATTAAAACTTTCATAACATGAACCCTATATTTCATAACAATACATCTATAAAATGAAATTCCTTCGCTATAGGAAGCGATTTCAAACAATTTTTGTGTCAATAGATAACTAAAAACTTATTTTTCAAAATCTCCAAAGCAATTTAAGATTTCAATGTATCAATTGAAAATAATTTGAGAAATTTTCTAAACTTTCATTTAATAAAACCCAGAAATTTAGATTCGAAATTCTCTTAGAATACTTAATGAAAAGATGCATATGATATATGTTTAGAAAACTCTCATCACGTAGAACAAAAAATCTAAGGTTTCCAAGATCAATTGCAAAAAAATTCAAAAGAAATTTTATTTTGAACTTTAGGTTCTATATGCAAATTTAGAATTATTTTAATAAAAAAAAGTGGGTCCTATAATCATATATGCATAGCTCTGATACCAAATGACAAAAATAATTTTCAACCCATTGATCAAACCCAAGAGTAGGAACCAGAAAATGTTAATGCGTGGAGGACTAGAATAACTTTAAAAATGTGGAGGGTTGTTGATTAGTAATTTTGAATGTTTGTTAAAAATTATATTATATTTTACTGATTAAGAAAATTATATTAGGTTTTACTTTTTGTTATTATTATCATTGTATTTCTTTGTAATTTTTTTTATTGATTCTTGTAATTTTTATTAATTATCTAATCATATTTAGACTAATTAAGATCACTTTAAGTCTATAGAATTTGCTAAACAATTTGATTATACCATCCAAATCAAGTTTAGGCCAAGTTTTTCTTATTTGCAAAATGGTCCTTATACTTATACATGTTTGTACTTTGACCAATAATCTTTTAAATATTTCCTTTTGAATCCTAATTGACTTGCTTGGCATAAATTGTATCCTTGTATATCTTATCATCTTGATTTCATGATCAATTGATCTTTACTTGACACAACTTGTCATCATTTCCTCGAACATACACTACTTGATTCCTTGTAAACTTGACTTGATCTTTTGAACACTTGTTTGATTTCCTTCTTTAACCTAACTTGTTATTGAGGGTTGTTATAGATACCATCTATATCGATAATCGGCTTGTAATAATTGAAGGCATGAACACATTATTTGAAAGTCTAAAACACCATATGGAATACCTTTCGAGATCGATCCAGCCAGTTATCAATAAAATGATCATGCAAATCTAGCTTATAAACAGCCCCTTGTGAAAATAGTAACATGTAATCCAACCATTTTGGCAGAAATGCGTAAAACTGATCCCAATCACCATAAATTTTGCCAATTGCCTTTTGCTTTATCTTCCACGCCTTCTTGTATGATATATGAAACCCATGATTTGTTGCTATCCTTTCTTGTATTAGAGCAATTTTAATATTTGGCTCCTCTCTTATTATTTATGCATGTCGTCAAACAATTATGTATTAAACACTTTCCAAAAATACGAAGAGAATTTTCGAATACTTGACATACCCAGGATCATTAATCAAATGAAATTAGAGTCTAGCTGCTTATGATCTTAAGAAAGAGTTAGGTCAACACAATTATGTTCATTAACCCATTTGTTGATAATCCATTTTGCTGCCCTTTTTTATGTGTGCACTCGTTCTCCATGGACAACTGTCGTTGTGATTTTCACATACCATGATTAATCTTGTAGTATCACTTTTTGCAACAACGGCTGTATGATACTTTGCCATACAAAATTGCTTTACTACGTTATACACATCGTGCTTGTTCTTAAACATCTAGTCCTTATATAGCTCTTGATCCTTCTGCCAGTTCGGTACTTGCGCTCCCTCTATTGCAGACAACTCCTGATCTGGGTGTGCCTAATTAATATGAATATAATGACTTATTTGAAATCATAATGGAACATTATCGTCTCATGTTTAAGCACACATGTAAATAGGGATCACCATGTGTAACTTACAATCAATGTTAAAAAGGCCATTATTAGGAGTTACTAAACTGCCACTGGCGGGTCATGCATTCCAACAATGTCCTGTAAGGGAATTAGATAACACATTACGGTAGACAGACATGAATCAAAACCGCCCTCGACGTCGGTGTCAAATGAGTCAATTTTGGAATGACACCTTCATCTTCCTCCTCGTCGGATGAGTCATTGCCCGTACGACACATCGGATTATAATCATCTTCGGATGGAGTGAATGGAAGCAGTGTTTTAAAACCCGGCTCGGACCGGCCGGGTCGACCCGGGACTCGGTGACCCGGTGGGTTCCCCGGTCCGAGCGGGTAGTTAGACCGGTTATGCAGTCAGCCGGATTGGACCGGTTGACCCGGCCGAAACCCGGCGACCTGGTTGACTTGGGTTAAACCGATTTTTCCTTTCTTTTCTTTTTTTGGTAAATTTTTTTTTTGTTGATAAGACTTGAATTAATTCATATTCATATTCATATTTTATGATGAATATGATTAAAAGTAAGGAGAAAATAATAAGGTATTTTAGATTAGTGTAGTTCGTTTATGTAATTTAGTTGCATCTTATAATGATCTCATGAAGTTAAGTGGTGATAAACACTGATGGTCTCATGATCTCATCTCAACGGTCTAGAGCCAGAAGCTTAGAAGTATATAATATTTGCTATCATTGAAAACCAATTTATTTTTTGAAGCTCATAGATAGTTTTCTTATGTGAATTTTTATTAATATAAGTAATATTTTTATATTTTTAATATGTGAACAGTAAAACTGGTTGAACCAGTGACCCAATACCTCGACCGGTTCGATGATCGGTTCGAGTTTTAAAACACTGAATGGAATGGAGAGAATGTTGACTGCTAGACTATCCATCAAAGTCTACTTTCGCATATAGTTCAATAAATGTGGAGTCTCGATCATTTTGAAATGCATATACTCCTAACTCGACATCTTCATCATCAACAATCTCCATAGGAACCCAACTCTTTTTACAGAAGGTTCATATCACAGTCAATCGAGACAGAGATTGGCCTCGTTGTAATCTCAATTTCTTATATATTGTCTTCTTCAGATCATTAAAACTACATTGATGGCTTATGCGAAATATTTTTGTATCTCCTTCAAATATTTGACCATTAGGACCAAAATATCTTCTCCCATTATAGTATACAATGGTAATTATTGAATCATTCTCATCATTCATTTTGAAAAAAATAAACAAAAATTTAAGAGAACAAATACCAGGAAAGTACACATGGAAGAACTAAATTTTTTTACTATGTCAAGTCACACATGCAAGTGGAGAAGGGCTAGGGTTTATATTGAACTGATAGCAAACAGAAGTAGCTGAAAAAATTTAAGAGAGGAAATACTGGGAAAATAAAATAGGAGAACTGAAAACGCACAAACGAGTGGAGAGGGGCTGCAATTTATATTGAATTGCTAGCAAACAAAAGTAACAAACAAAATTTAAGGGAAGTAACACCAGAAAAGTAACACGGGAGAACTGATAATACACAGACGAGTGGAGGGGGGACTGGGATTTATATTGAAGCTCTGCTAAACCAAAGTTGCTAAAGAAGTTAGCGATTTTGGTATTGCCATGCCATGTCTCGTTCATCAAAAGTGTGACTAAAGTAGCTGAGGAGAGTAACGATTTTGGTGCCATGTCTTGTCCATAAAAAAAAATTCCAGCAGTCACTAAAGCAGCTGAGGAGTGTAGCAACTTTGGTGCCAAAGTAGCCACCCTCCCTAGCGATTTCAGCTTGGAAAAAACACCACGCATGCGAAATCGACCAAAGTTGCTACACAGTGTAGCGACTTTGGCCACACAACCCACCTCTGCCTCCTCTGTGAATGAGACATGTGTACATGTCATTGTCGTTATACCATTTAGCGATTTCATAGTCGTGTCATTTTGAAATTTTTTTTTTTTTTGGGTTTGTGGCATTTAGATATTTTTATGGTAAAAGGTGGCACAAATGTCAATCTCCGAAATTAATCTCCTACTAAAGACACAGTCATGGTGGGTGCATCACTTATTTTAAAAAAATATTGCAGCAATTCGATGGGTCACCAACAGGGGAAAACACCTATAATGTTAAATACACTTCTCCATCAACATTTTTACTGGAAATGTACATATAAAGTTACGGGATAGGAAAAGATTTTCTTGCATATACATTGAGTTTTAGACCTATTCATTTTTATTTTTTTTGAAATAAAATTATGGACCCCACTAAATATTTATCTGCAGAAAATTTCAGTCTTGTACGGTGACAGGAGGAATGTAAGTCCCCATTTTTAATTAGTATTTCCCCCTTTTTTTATTAGTATTTTTAATTAGAATTTGATATTTCTTATATTATAGGAGATAAAATCATTTCTTACACATAGATTATATAAAGAGTATAAATAAATAAAATATAAATCTTATATATTTTTTATGTATATAAAAGATAATTTTATTTTTTACAAATGTATTACCCTTGTGACTAAGTGTGCGATGAGAATTTATGTATAGTCAAATGGCACTAGTTGTAGTGTAACTGTAAAGTGGAGAGTGGAGAGTGGAGAGAGGCCTTTCGGAATTAGTAATTGATAAAACGAGTGACAATGCAATCGCATTTGCTGGTGGGACCTATCTCCGTCGCACCATATCCTGCCACCGCCGATTTCAATCCCTTCCACTCCGCCGTGCCGCCCACCTGGCTCAACCGTCGTCGCCAACGCCCACCGCTCATCGCATCTTCTTCGTCGTCTTCTTCCTCGGCTGCGGCAATCAACGGAGGACTGAACCACTACGCCGTCCTCGGCGTCGCCCAGACCGCCACCTCCGCCGAGATCAAACGTGCTTATCGACTCCTCGCCCGCAAGGTATTCGTCGCTTCTCGATCTTGATTTTGATTTTCCCTATAATCTGGAATGGTTTTGAATCTTGCTCGATTGGATTTTTCGTCCACAGTCTGCGTTGTAATATGCCATGAGCAATGAACTGCAACGAGTTATTGAACTGTGATGATTCCCAATTTGATGTGAAAAATTAAGAATTAGGGTTAGGAGAGGTGAGTTTATGTGTCTTCTGATTATTTGTTTTTCTTTGGCATTTGAATCTCTAACCGTTAGGCTTTTGATATTTTCATTATTTTGTGTTGTTAGAAAATATTTGACAATTTTTTCTTTCCAATCTTTTGGTTATTTGCTTTTCTGTGGCATTGGCATCTCTTCTAATCTTAGGCGTTTGACATTTTCTTTTGTTTTTGTTTTGTTAAAACTTGCAAATACTTGACTACTTCTGGTTTGAAAATTACCGCTGTTTTTTTCTTTTTTCTCTAAGTGTTGTCTGCCTGGTGGATGTGTAAGAGGGGGAAGAAATGTTCAATAATGGTAGGATTTCAGGGTAACATGCCTACCCATATTCATGACTGCAGAAAGGCATCTCTGAAATTTTGATCTCATTACTTGTAGTTGTTTTGCTCTTTGTTTATTAAAGGTTAAAATGCAGAATGTCCCTTCAACTGTGACTCCTTGATTTCAGTTTGGACAACCAACCCACTTAAACTTTCAATATGGGCAAATGAACTCCTGTGCTATTTGCCAAAGGATCTAAGTTGAAGGGAATCATGCATTGCAATACATACTGCTCAAATTGTTATTATTATTGTTCGAGAGATTTGCTTTTGTTTATGTTGACTAAAATTTTGTGCAGCAATAGAATTTCATCCCTAAGGAGGGTTTCTTCTTGTTCCCTCCTTTTGCCTAATTAACTGTATGGGGCTTAGATCTTGAATGTGGTTCTTATTTTAAGTTCAAACTCTTTACACTTAATTTCTCTTGCAGCATATACATCTTGGTTTTTCTTGTTTAATTTTTCAATTATCATTTTTTTCTTGAAAATATCGTTCAGAATACTAAGTCTCTAATTTAGCCCCGAGCAAACACTTCACCTTATCTATTATTTTGCTGAGAGTGCAGTATCATCCTGATGTCAGCAAGGATTCACACGCATCTGAATTGTTCAAGAGCATCCGTCATGCATATGAAGTGAGCAACCATTTTTCAACTTTTCTTGCTATGTAGAAATAATTGCCTCTTACCAGCGATTAAATTTCATTTTTCTGGGGTAAGAGAAAATTTTTACATTCTTTATTCTGGATCTTACTGTTGCTTCGCAGTTCTACTGGTTCCACCAAAATGTTCTTTGGTGGAGGCTAAAAAAAAAAAGAATGTAACCATCATTGACATTTAGTAAATGGTTTTGGAAAATGCTTTAACAGAGCAAGGTCCAAAAACAAACTAATATTGTTATACTCTCTGCTTCGGTTTTCAAATTCAAGATAAAACTATTACAAAGTACGAACAACTTTTTCCTCCAACAGCTTTATTCGAATTATGAACTACTTTTGAGACATTTTTGTGAAGTTCCCAGAATTTCTTCTGCAATATAAGGTTTTTTTTTTTCATTTTTTTTTCATGTGCTTTGGAGTGGAGCACGTGTAATTTTGGAAATCCATTGATGGTATCTACTTTTTATATCATTAAACAGGTACTATCCAATGAAGCAACGAGAATTCAGTATGATCAGGAACTTCAATTTGGTCGCAAGCCTTACAGGGAAAAATGGAGTTACAGCACTGAATTTGAAGACCAGGTAAGAATCTATAGGTGGGCCAACCTGAGGAAGAAAATGAATAGTGAAAGATACGGGGAGCATGACAATGACAATGAGGACTACTACAGCAGTGAAACAGATGAGGAGGAAGATGAAGAAAATGTAGATGAAGAGAGGGGTTCTTTCATTGAAGTGATTAGATCAGCATTCATGTCACTATTATTGTTCCAGACATTAGGATCCCGACTCTCCCTTACGTTTAGCAGTCTGACGGCATTGTTTGATAAGAAGTTAGACAGCGGCTACAAAATTGGTTATGTAATAGCATGGATTTTGGGTGGGAGGGGTGGCATAATGCTAACATTGTGCTTGTCGTTTGCAAGTTGGGTTTGCGGGAAAACCAGCAGTAATGTTGTTGCACTAGTTATGGTAGCCATGTGGGTTGGCTCCTACCTTGCAAGGTACGCGCCACTTCCCCAAGGTGCTCTGTTAACACTTCTCTACATGTCCATTAAGCTTCAATCTGACCAAATATAAAGACCATGCCCGCTACAGGCATTTCTTCTGAATTTGTATCTCTGACTATGCTATTTATTGAGGTTGATGTACATATATTCCAGTAAATGTAAATAAATATTGTAATCTGTTTGCTGATGATTAATAAAGTGCGAAAATGGTTGATGAGTTGGAATATGCAAATTTCAATCATGTCCCAGATTATGCAACTTTTAGAGAGATGGTATGCAGTAGTTGGCAAGCGGGGGAAATTCTTGAGAATGAACACAAGGCTTTGGAAAATAAACATTGAAATTATTTTGCAAAATTATTAGAATTCTACAAGAAGTTCCTTCCCCATTTACCTACAAAGTATTTCCAGAAACGAAAAATGAAAAAGTTGGAAAGACAAGAATTTACGGGTTTCTCTAACGTTATCATTGGGGATGTCCATAAACATGAGAGAATTACAAGTTTCTGCGACAACGAAAATAAAAGAATAATGAAGATTTGGGTTTGGAGAGTGCCAACTCCTAAGAACTCTTCAATTGGACATTATCATTCGTGGACCTTAAATTCCTCCATAGATATCTCCCGCTGGCCATGTCAACAAATACCCAGAATCCATTCTGAATCATCTGAAACCAAAGCACAAAATTATAGTTAATGACAAAAAAAGAAGAAAATCAAGAATCTTGGTGAATTTGTACAAAGACAGTGGAATTCAGGCTACCTTTTTGAAATTGAAACGATCCTTATTGAAGGAGGATTTGTTGTCGTGATCGTCAGCAGTGAAGTCAATCTCCGGGGAGGAACGCACGGCAGTCCAGGCAAAATAAGCTGCCAACACGGCGGAGAAAAAGATCAGGATGAACCTAAGAGGACACATGTTTTGCAAGGCAACAAAGAACTGGTTTTGCAGGAATGGAAAGTCAGAGAGAAAGAGAGAAAATTGATGACAAGCCAAAAATTGTATTGTTTGTACTGTGAGAATGTTGAGATTGAGTCGCTTTTATATGACACAGAATTACTGAAATTGTATGAAGGAATGAGTAAAAACGAGGAAAGGCGCGGTGCGTTGTCTTTGTCTTTGTAACTTTTCTTTGGGATTATTATGTGACCTTGAGCAGAGATGTTTTACAATGTCAAAGGTATTCCTTTCCCTTTGCATATTGGACTTTGTCCAATGTATTACGTTATATACGATGAGCTGCGGTTTGGGAGGATAATCTTCTAGATCCTTCAAAGTTGACCAAATCTCATTGTCCTTCCTCCACTCCACTCCACTTCTTGACTCTTTCGGAATATTAGTGTTGAGAAATTCAAGTGTGAATGATTGAATAAAAAAATCTCACATTAGTTAAGAATGGACTAAGTAAGTATAGTGGAAAGACTCATACACCTAATGCCTTAAGATTTTGAATTTGATTGTGATATTTCAAATCCATTTAATATTGTTGTTCACTTAGTTCATAATTGACGGTCTCTTCATGTTATAAATTCCTTCTGCACGGCCCAATAATTAATAGATTATGAAAATTGGATATCACACTGACCAACCATTATATTGATTAAAGTTAAATTTTATGCTTTCTTGTTTTAAATTTCTATTAACATATGAGTTCTATAAGTTTAGCAAGGTTTGTATTAGCACTAGCTTACAAGTGAAATTTGGATATCATATCTTAGCAAAACTTGCAAGCTTTAGGTATCTTGATTTACCGTAAAAAGTGAAAAAGGAATAGAAATAGACGTAAATAATATGATTCAAGTGAATAAAATGAATAAATGTTTTCAAGTTTTATTTGTGATTGAAAAGTAAGAAATTTTGCGGCATAGCCACAAGACTCTCATATAGAGTTAGTAAGAACAAATGTTAAGTCTTGCGAGTGGCGGAGCCACCATAGCAATCTAGTGGCAAAAAAAATTTAGCCAATGTGAAACACTAAATTTTATCTTTCAGCCTAGCTATGATTATTTGGCTATGTCCAAAATGTGACTAATTTTTTAAAATCAACTACGGCCAAGGTTTTGGCTAAACCAACATGGCTTCGCCACTTAGTCTTGCATAACGAGGATGTTATGACAGATGAATAAACATATAAGAGAAGATAACATAAAAATAAAAATGAATGCATTAGAGAATAAGTTAGGATAACACCTATTAAGAAAAGGAAGGTAAAAATAAAATTTTACCTTAAAATTGTGTGACCATGTAAGAAGAAGACTAATAAAATCCCTTGTAAAAGATGTCAATAAAATAGAGGATAAATCTTATTTTATAAATAATTTTTGTGTACATTTGTTTAATTTATTGTAAATAATGCAAGAACTTGGTTATGATCCAAAAATATTAAAAATATTATTTATTCTTAATTAAAAATACCTTATTAATTGAGTAAAAATGTTTAGTTTAATTTATATTTTTTCTGGGAGTCTGATGTGTGCATCATAGCAATCAGAACCCTCATTCTCAGTGGACTATAGTAAAGCATAGATAAACAAAGTGGGCCATGTTTAAGAAGAAAAACAAGTGGGAGTGTTTGGATCTTGAAGTATGGGTTTGGAGTCAAGACCAACACTATTTTGCTCCCTGCATTTTTCACTGCTTCTTCATTACCCATGCAGTGCCACTATATTTGTTCTCAGTCATGCATCTTGCCCTTTAAAATTTATTTTATACAAAGCATGCAAGATCCAAAATTTGGATACTGTTCCTGGATGGGAACTTGGAAAGACTACAAAACATTTTATTTTATTTCTTAAAAAAAAAACCACCAGTGAGGTGATTCTAGTTCCCAGAGCCTCGTGATAAAGGGAGTAGGAAAGAGTAAAAAAAGTGACAAAATGTATTGTAAAATTCTAACTCGCATATTCTCATTACATGTCTTACTGTTTTATCAATTGAATTATCTCAAGAAATTAACTGAATCTAATTTTAATTCTCAATATATGCTCATTCATAATATTTATATATACTTTTTAAAAAATTAAATAGTACAGTGTAGTATCTTAAAACGATTTATAAAAAGATAAAAATACAAAATTTTGTTACGTTTTATCAATTTCTCATTTAATTTTTTAGGCGTTGGCAACAGCTTTCACGTAAAAAAATTTGGTATAACATTGTTGATTTTTGTTCAAGTATACGCACATCAACATAATGAGAGGTTCCGCTTAAATCTCCATTAATAGAGTTCAGGTAGTGGCTGCAGGTGATTTTTCATTGAGTTTGGGCAAGAGAGGGTGGTATAGTTCAACGTTCAAATAAGTATCTCCAAAAGATAGTGTGTAAAGGTAAGATGAATATATGTGCAGCTCCCAAACTATGACGAAGACCCTTGTGTATGTGTGATAGCTGATAAGTAGTCATCTCACCTAAAAATTTAAGCTGATAAGTGAAGGGTCTTCAATGAATTTATATTATATATCTCTAACAATAGCCTCTGGACTTTGACTATGTTGGAGTGGGTAAGATATGAGTAAAGTGTCATTCATACGAGGGTTTCTTAACTGAAATTATTACTAAGATAATATATACTAATTGTGTCATTTCATCGTGTAATGGAGAGCAAATAAAGGACTTATGGAGCCACAGACCAACTCACAATTTTAAAAGTAAATCTGTAGGAATTTTTTTTTTTTTTTTTTTTGATATGCAAATCTGTAGGAATTTAGTTTCATATGTCAAATGTATTGCTTTTCTTATTTATTGATATTAAATTTTAAAAGCTAATAGGGAGTCTTATTTAAAAAATAAAAAATAAAAATCCATGAATAAATGCTACACCATTTAGGTCACAACTTAGCAGTAACTATAAATTCAAATAATATTTAACATTCATATAAAATTGGAATATCAAGTAAAGAATTGCAAAGATTGGGAGGCCAAATAATTTAGAATTGGTCTCTAAATTAAAAGACGAAAATAAGAATCTGAATTAATTATCTAATTTCTTGTCAAAGAAAAAGGGAATCTATCATGTTCCAATAGTGGAGAATGTAGTAGATTCTGAGATGGAATTCCATCCATCCAAAGATTCCCCAGCAATTTAGTGTGGATTTTCTTATATGATTCTTTTTCTTGTTAATAATCTTCAATTCATTCGAACAGTAATTTAATTTCTTTTTAGCATGATTCTTCACATCTTGAGATTTTCCAAATTGTTTCACTATATTCCTATATCTTTTGGAGTTTATTTTGTATTACAACCTTGGTATTTGCACACCCATTCCTACATTTTTAAATTAACTAATATTCAAACTTGGTTCACCAAAGTTTATTTATCCGCAATCACTGTACATATTTATTTATTTTTACATTTTTCAGTTTATATATATGAAGAAAATATTAAATGTCAAATATAATTTATAATGCTATGAGCTTTCATATGACCCTTTTCAACTTTTATAATTATTAAATTAAAATTAATTATTCTTATGTTGAGTAATTAGACATCATCTCATTTTAAATATTTGTGAGCATAAATTTAATGAGTGCTTTTGTGTAATTTTTTTTAAAAAAAAACATCAACATGTTAGAGTGCCAATATAACATGTTCTAGTAAAAGTTTAGGTTAGAAATTGAAACTGTAATATGCTGAATTCAAAATGCTCAACTTTTCTATGGCCTAGAAAGGAAGATTGGATATTAATTGCTATGATCAATTATTGTCTTTAATTCATCTACAATAAAAATACTAGTTGAATAAATACAAAATTATAACTTTTAATTATCAATAGAATGAATTAAAATTTTGTAGTTTATAAAAACAACACACCAATATCTATATTGGTTTTGTGTTAGTGGAATCCCCACGCTAATCATATGCTGATGCAGCACTTGAGTGTGGTACGAGGCACAATACACTTCAACTCGGAGAAGGATAGATCATAGATCCTAGGTAGAGACGTAGAGTAGTCTAGGACTCTCTCTTCTTTCTTTCTTTTTCTCTTCGTTATTATTAATTAAACAATGGGATTGTTTTGTGGGGTGAGTTCCTAATAAGGATTTAACACGTGTAAAATGAGTTAATAAATGAAAAAAGGAATTTTGCCATAGAAAGGCTTTCTAAGATGCTTGAAATGCTTTATGAATCAATGAGAAAAATGAGACAAGAAAATGTGGTGAATGCTCCTAAGTGAAACAGGGAAAGTGGGAACTATTGTGCAAGTGTAATGGGTAGGTTCTCTTTTGGCCTCTTAGCAATCAAATGGGAAATGAAATTAGAGAGCAAGTGTTTGTTTGGTCATAAGCAATGTCACAAGTTGTCAATGAAACATAAAGTTGTGTTCGTCACTGATTGGTCCCAAGGTCTTAGAATAGAGGTTGTTGTTAAAATATCTGTTTCTTCTTTTAAAATAGTACTTTTTGCTAAGTATATAAATTTGATGCGTGTACTAAAATAATTATCTTTCACAAAAGGACGTGCTACATAATGCTGAAGTGTAGTGTTCAAACATAAGTTGGGTGGTCATTGACTTTGTCATGAATGAGTATGATACGCACTGGAATCTTAACATGACAACATCCAGAAATAAAATAAATGTTCTATTATTTAAATAAAGGAAAGGATATACTTATCACCAAAAAAGTTTATCATCTTTACAATTAACCTAATCTCCGTTGATTTCCATCAATCTAACGATTATAATTTATTGGATCGCATTTATTAGTTATTTATTAATTCCCAATAAATTCAATAAATTATAACTGTTAGATTGACAGAAATCAACGGAGATTAGATTGGTTGTAGAAATAATAAAATTTTTTAGTGATAAGTATATCGTTCCCCTTTAAATAAATGTAACTCGCTTTTACTACACTAGATAGCACACATGCGAGTAAATTGAAATCTTTATTTATTTTGCATGAAGACTAATTATAACGAAGAAGAATGAATCAGCATTAGCCACGATCTTGTCCTCGGTGTAGTGGGTATCCCGTGATCAGAAAGCAGATACCTCTAACACCACTTCCAAGTCCATTGGGTGAGTTGGTTAGTTAGTATATAGGTATTCAGGCTCAAATATCCAGAGGCCTGCAATTTTTGTTGGGAGAGGACAAAGAGATAATTTTCATGTAGGATATGTTGGTAGGTCCCATGTGAATTCAAGAATGAATGAACTGAGTTCATA